CAATAAATAGATCTTCTTTGCTGACAACCTCAAGACACAAACACAAAGCGACAGACAAGAGACAAACGCTGAAGACTGAACATAGCGTGTTCAGGCGGGAAAAAGATGCTCTTTCACTCCGTGCGCACTATCGATTAAGTTGCAAACACTCTACGTCCGATCCGTACGCGCGCCGGATCATGGCAATCGTAGGCGGCAACAGATCATCAGGCGTGAACACAAACGATGTGATCTGCGACACATTCTGATTGTAGCGGACACCAGAAAGACGGCCAAGCAGTCGACGAACTTGCTCTTGTTTTGTCTCAGAGCGCACTCTGTGTGAAGTCTGCAGCATGCTCGAGACATTGGCGGCCGCTGCTGTGCCAAAGAAGCGTTGGACAATGGCCGGCAGCTCAATCTCAATGTGCTCAACTGAGCCGAGATAGTCGAGCTTCACGGGCTTGGGGCGCCCTCTGGGAAAGGGAAGAGTCGCGAGGAAGGAGAGCTGGGGCTCGAGATGTGCATCGCACAAGCGCGGACTGGCGACGCACGCGGTGAGGATCCGCCGGGCGATTGCATCTGCGTTTTCTGCCGTGTTTGCAGCAGCCCCTGCCGGCACGCCGGCTTGAATCACTTTGAGGTTCTTCCGCAGCGCCGCTTCAAGGACGCCGCTGGTGAAGCGTGCAACTGGGTCGCGGACAAAGGTGAAGTAGGCATACTCGCCAACCGTGCCGTGGGCAGCGTCCAGGGTTTGACGGCAATACAAGTGCCACGGGCACACCAGCACCCAATTCCTGCACATGGATTTCAGGGCGTGGACAATCGTCGTGCCCGCAGACTTGAAGATGTGGATGAAAGCCACACGGCGGCGCGGGCAGAAGAGAACCTCGTCGTAGAGCGGGCTCTCGGGGTGAGGGGGACGGTCCTTGGCCAGTCGTGGGACAGCGCCATGCGAATTGTGGAGCAGGTGCCGACCCCGGCGGTGACAATGCGTGCTGTCGCCTGGCAATTAGTGTATGCCCGTTCTCGCCGCCTCCTCGCCCCCGCTCTCGTGCCACCAACCTTCCCCCCTCGCGGCGCGGCGCGGCTTGACGCGGGGCGGAGTGTGGTGGTGCAGGTGCTCGAGCGCCTCCCGTGGGCGATCCCGTTCGACGCGCGGGTGCGCCTCTTCCGCTTGCTCGTCCAGGACACGTCCGAGGCACGTCGGAGACACGTCGGAGACACGTCGGAGACACGTCCACAGGTGCGCCTCTTCCGCGCGCTCGTCCAGCGCGAGCAGCAGGGCTTGCCGGGCGAGGCGCTGCCCGAGCACTTGCGTGGCCACCGCGTGCAGATCCGGAGAGAGCACTTGCTGGAGGACGGGTACGTCCAGCTGGGCGCGCTGCCGCGAGAGAAGCTCAAGGGGACGATCCGCGTCGAGTTTGTGTCCGAGCTCGGCCTGGCGGAGGCGGGCATCGACCGCACCGGCGTCTGCAAGGAGCCCCTCGAGGACGCGGCTGGTTCCGCGTCCGAGGTCCGCTGATCAAGCCTCCTTAGGCGTCTTCAAGGAGTTTCTCGAGGACGCGATGCGCGCCGCCATCGACGCGCAGCGCGGCCTCTTCGCCCGGACGGCGCAGCGGAGGATCTACCCGTCGCCGAGCTCGGGCGTCGCCGAGTCGGCGCACGAGCCTAGAAGGGGAAGACGGAGTCAGAAGGCGGGGTCTTGCGTCCCAACCCGCGCTCGAGAGGGCACGTATTCAACCGTCTTCGGCTGTATGTGGCTGTATTTGCTGTATTTGTGTCGCTCGTGTTCACGCGGTGCTCTGAAGACTCGGCACACACCCGTCTTCCCGCCCTGATGTCGGTGTGTTCGTCACGTAGGCGCACGAGCGGCTCTTCGAGTTTGCGGGCAGGCTGCTCGGCAAGGCTCAGCTGGCGGACTTTTCCCAGACATGTCCAAGACACGTCCCCGACATGTCCCGCAGGCTGCTCGGCAAGGCGGTGTATGAGGGCATCGTGCTCGACGCGGCGCTCGCCGACTTCTTCGCTGCAAAGCTGCTCGGCAAGCCGGGATCGATCGACGACCTCGCGTCGCTCGACCCGGAGCTCTTCCAGTCGCTGCAGCTCGTCAAGAGTTACGACGGCGACGTCGAGGGCGACCTCTGCCTCTGCTTCACCGTCGACGAGGACGTCTTCGGCGTGCGCACCGCGGTCGACCTGCGCGAGGGCGGCAGCACGATGCCAGTCACGCGCGAGAACCGGATCGAGTGAGACTCGAGATCCGCCCGAGATGTGATCCCTCGGGTAGTCTGCGACTCGCCCGCGCCGTCCCGGCCCCACCGCCCCCGCGCCCCGCCCGCCCCACCGCCCGCCGCCCCCGGCAGGTACGTCCACCTGATGGCCGACTACCGCCTCAACCGGCAGATCGAGGCGCAGAGCCGCGCCTTCGTCGCGGGCGTCCACTCGGTGGTACCCCTCTCGTGGCTGCGCCTCTTCACCACGCCCGAGCTGCAGCGGCTCATCAACGGAGACGACGCGCCGATCGACGTCAACGACCTGCGCCGGCACACGCGGTACGCGGGCGGCTACAACGAGCTCACCCCGACGGTGCGCGACCTGTGGAGGGTGGTGGCCGACTTTTCGCACGAGGACCGCGCGCTGCTGCTCAAGTTTGTCACGTCGTGCTCCAAGCCGCCGCTGCTCGGCTTCAAGTACCTGCAGCCGCCCTTTACGGTGCAGTGCGTCTCGGGCGATGGGGGCGAGACGCCGTCCGTGCTCGCCTTCTTCGGGATGGGCAGGAACGAGACGCAGAGGCTGCCGACCGCGAGCACCTGCTTCAACCTGCTCAAGCTGCCAAACTTCAAGTCGAGGGCGGTGCTGCGCGAGCGGCTCCTCTACGCCATCCGGTCCGCCTCGGGCTTTGAGCTTTCGTGAGATGTTGTCAACTATTTTGGTTTTTGTGTGATGCCATGTGTACGTGTACGAGGCTTCTTCCTCTCAGAAAACACGCGGACGGCTTCTGGCTAGTGGTAGTGCCATTTCACACTCTGACAGTGACACGCTTTCTTGAAAACGTCTCCAACCTAGAGCCGTACGGAGCTCCGTCGGTTGCTTCCAGCGCCCTCCCCCGCGCTCCCTGCGGCCATGGCCGATGCTCCTAGTAAGAGAGGTCATCTGGCTACCGCGAGAGCGACCCAACTTGTCGACATCGTCCGATGATGGTGCCGCAAAGTCAGCCTTCGGAGGCTATCGTCGCGTCGAGCCGGCAGTAGCCGTGACATGTTGTGGTTCCACCACCCCTCGTAGGCTTTGCCTCTGACCGCCACCATTCCCAGGCTGCCTAATGGGATGGAAAGGAAGGCTCGGCGAGCGTATAGAAGCGTTCTCGACCTCGTCGTGGCAACCTGCAAGGCAGCGCTGGCGGGCGCGATGAGCGTCGTGCCACTTGACCGGAGACGGGTCGCAGGCGTCGTACCGAGCGCGTCGATACCGCGGAGCAAGAGCAAATCAACTCAACCGTTCGAATGCTGACGCCGCAAGTCGTTGCCGCCGGTTGCCAAGGTGCGCCTGGATTGCTCAGCAGCACAAGCATCCACGGAGCCAGCGAGCGCCGAGCGACATTGAATTGACTGAGCCGGACCGGGACATGTCGGCGGGCAAAATTGTAAAATGGTTCCGATAGCCGAGGTAGCTCCGGCGGACGTGAGAGCACGGCCTGACGATCAAGCACGAGAGCGACGAACGGAGGCGCAGATAACTGGCGATGAACTCACTGCTGATACCTGCTGGAGCTGCGGAAGATGCAGTAGTACTGCCGCAGACAGAGCACCGCGCGCGGAGCGCGCCGCTGGAAAGCACGCGCGGAGCGCGCCGCTGGGTAGGCGCGGAGCGCTGCCACTTGAGACTGGGCCTGTGGGTGGGCCGAGTGGTTCCTAGCGTGTGAGTCAAACTCTAAATAGAGATCGCATCTAGCCCTCCACAACCCTCAAAATTTTCTTCGGGGCGCGCTCTGCGCGCGGCGCTCCGCGCCTCACTCCTTGAGCGTCATAGGCGCTGGCCCGCACATGTTCTGCAGCTTGGGCGGAGGACCAGTGCAGAGTAGCCGCGCGGTCTTAGGTGGTGGTTGTGGCATGCGGACGAGATCGCAGATGCGTACACCGGGATGCGGCGTGCCCAAGAGCCTCCTTCCTATCCTCCCCCACCTTCACCCTCCGATCGTCACCCCAGTGGGAAAAAGAAGCAAAACTGGAGGTGCTTTTGTCTCGCCTGTTCCCCCACTGTGGCGGCTGCCCGCCCAGTTTGGTGAGGTGAATAAAAAGAAAAATCGTCAGCTTCGAATCCAGGGCGAGCGGATTCGATTATCACAACTAAACGAAATATGGTGTGCCTTGGTCCTCTCCTTGAGTCGAGCGCAGCCGACAGCCATGGCAAGCGTCGTGCTTCTCGTCTCACTGCCCTACGTCCTGGCTGCTCGGTGTGGCGTGGACAGCTGCACCGACGCCGTCCTCGCAACGCTCGCCCAAGATTTGACCGCCAACTACAAGGGCTTCTCATCGTGCGAGTCTCGCATCAACTGGGTGAAGAGCAACACCGGCCGGAATGAGGAAAAGTCGTGCGAAAAGGTGGCAGAGGAATTTCCAGAAGAGTGTGGCGCCTGCCACCCCTTCCAATCGCCGCCTCTGCCGCAAACCTCGCCGCCACCGTCGCCGCCGCCACCACCATCACCACCGCCGCCGCCGTCACCACCGCCGCCGCCGTCACCACCACCGCCGCCGTCACCACCACCGCCGCCGTCACCACCACCGCCGCCGTCACCACCGCCGCCGCCGTCGCCGCAGTCCCCGTGCCTCTCGTGCGAGCCCTTGTGCGACTGGTCGACGCACGACTACAAGCTCGTGGGCACCGAGATGTCGTGCGTAGCGCGCGACCCGATGGGCGGTGAGTCGAGCGGTATGTCCTCAATGAGCATGGGCTGTGGCAACATGTCGTGCGCATCGACCCTCGCTTTCCTCCACGAGAACATGGTGATGCACCACGGAATGGCGATCGAGTTTACATGCGATGTTGAGGTGGATTTCGTTCGCGGCATGATCCCGCACCACGCAGGCGCAGTCAAGATGTGCGACATCCTGCGTGGCTCGGTGAGCGTGGAGACGGACTCCGACGGCTCTGGCATGGGAATGATGCACTCGTCCGGGAGAATGCTAATGCCGGCCGCGATCGACCCCTTCCTCGAGGGCCTCTGCTCTGACATTGAGGAGACGCAGGCGCGTGAGATTGCGGAGATGGAGGCATGGCTCGCGAGCCGCAGCTTGGGCGCGTACACGTCCTGTGGCGACAGCCACGGCGGCGGCATGGATGGCCACGACATGGGCAGCGGCGATATGGACATGGGCGGCGACATGCCTGGCCACGACATGGGCGGAGGCAGCATGGGCGGCGACATGCCTGGCCACGACATGGGCGGAGGCAGCATGGGCGGCGACATGCCTGGCCACGACATGGGCAGCGGCGATATGGACATGGGCGGCGACATGCCTGGCCACGACATGGGCGGAGGCAGCATGGGCGGCGAAATGCCTGGCCACGGCATGTGACGCACGGACGAAGCACGGTCAGAAGGAGCGGCAGAGAGAAAAGTACGACCCCGAGCCGCGGTCTCCACTGCCCTGCCATCTAGTTTTACCCTCCGATCCGGGCGGGTGTCGGTCGCAGTCCGTCGGCCGTCTTGCCATGTGTGTGTGCTGGCGCGCGTGCGGTCGGCAGAGCGCTGCGCCCTGTCGCTCTGTCGAGCACGCTCTCTCGTGCTTCGTTGTGACCCACCCTGTCCCCTCCCACCCGTGTGTGTGATCAGTGTCTACGGAGAGGGAGAGGGAGTGTCTTTGGCTCGCGCCAGGGAGGCCGGGAGGGCGCTCGTTGCTCCTCCGTCTTTTGTATCATTAATTATTACTTAGAAGCCGCCCACGGTCACACCTCCACGGCGGCTCGGCTGGGCGGCGCTGCGCCTGCTGCGTCATCTTCGGCGGGCCGGTCTGGGGCGGCCTTGCTGTGGCCCTTGGTGGCGTGGTAGACGCCGGTGCCTGCGGTGGCGAGGAGCACGCCCAGCATGTTGAGCAGCGTGAGCTCGTCGTGTAGGACGAGCACTGCGCCGACGATGGTGAGCAGCTCTCTGGCCGAGGCAATAGGTAGGTAGGTAGGGCGTTTTGGCGCGACTCAGTGGGGACAGACCCCCTATCTGGCTAGGAGCCGGAACCCAGCACGAGCTAAAGACAAGGCGCGCGGCTTCTTTTTTTTTGGCTTCGGGAGGATGTGTGTCTTGTGAGCCTGTTTGTGTCTCCGCTCGTGCGTGTCGTCATCATCTGTCCAAGCGTCCACCCATACCGCGTTGGTGTCCAGTCCGAGCCTGGCTGTTCGTCACCTTCCTACCTAACCTAAAGGGAGGAGAGTTTTTCCGGCAACCAGAGGGAAACCAGAGGGTCCCCAGCACTTTTTGGTGCTCCATTCTGGCAACTCTCGAGTTTCCCTGAGTCTGAGAGCTGGTCTGGGGGTGGGGCAAAATCTGAGGCGCGAACCCGCCGAGCACCACCGCAGCGCGCAGAGATATGGCGCCCGAACCAACAGACGAGGCCCACGCGTTGGCGGAGTCGTTCGCGCCTGTGGGGGCAGTATACATGGATCGTAGACGCGCGGGGCAGTAGGGAGATATATAGACGAGGCCCACAGCAACAGCCGCCGCCGCAGCAGCAGCCGCAGCAGCCGCAGCAGCCGCCGCCGCAGCCGCCGCAGCAGCTGCAGCGCCCTCACCTGAGGCAGCCGCGGGCTGTTGCGCCGCTCCAGACGCCCGCAGCTGACGCTCCCGCGGCGGCCGCCGTGCTGCTGCCCGCGAGTGCGGCGGCGCCGTCGAGCCCTCCCGGCAGCCACGCCAACGGCGCCGCCAACGCACGGCGCCGCCAACGGCCCCGCCAACGGCCCCGCCGGCCGGCCCGCCGCCAACGGCCCCGCCAACGGCCCCGCCGGCCGGCCCGCCGCTCGAAACTTGTGCTCGTGGAGTCCATGCGAGAGGGCATATGGCGAGGCCGCTGGCTACAAATTTTACGGACATGGATCGATGTTATGCTTTCATTGTAGAGACATATACCCAGACCTGCTCACATGAGCTATTCACGGCTTATGGCGGCCGTCCTGGTCTTGTTACATAACGCGCGGTTTCGCGATATGTGCGAAAAGTGAAGATCTGGACACCACCTAGAAAGAAATACGAGTAGGCATCACTGGCGCCAAACATCAATCTTTCACATCCTTGCACTCGGCCTGCCGCTCAGCGAGCTGTAATCGGGAAAGCATGACTCAGCTGTCGTGGCGGCCCCGTGAATAGCTGCGGCCAGCCGGGGAGGCCCTTTGAAAAGAAGAAGAAGAACCGTTAGGTCGGCCAATCCAGCACCCCACTTTCACACTCGTACTCGACTACTCGAGTACCTAGGTACCCGGGTAGCGGCTGTGGTTTTCGTGAGGGGCCATGGCGCCGACGACGACGGCCATGATCATTGTTGCGGCCGTCGCGCTGAGCTGGTGGGCGCGGCGACGGCGACGATCGATCATCACACCCACGCAGTGGACGCAGTTTGACCGCGACGGGTACGTCGTGCTCCGCCCAGACCAGGTGTTTGCGTCGCCGCACGACGATTTGCTGTCTCTGCAACAGCGAATGGACGATATCATGCTTGGCACGTGTGCAGAACCGCCGCCTTACGAGCGCATGATGATGCAACTTGATTCGTGCACGGGTGTGTATGCCGATGCCGGCGAACAGACGTTGGGCTACAAGGGTAAGACACTGCGCTACCGCAAGATTCAAAATCTCGACCTGGACGACCTCGTGATGGGCCTCTTTTTGCGACGGCCGTGCTTCGCGGAGGCCTGCGAGCGCGTGTACGGCAAGGGCACCCCCATCAGCTCCTTCCGCACCATGTTCTTCAACAAGCCGTGCGCTCCCTCGGCCGCCAGCTCGGGGGGCACCCACCTCCCGTGGCATCAGGACCGGTGGCGGTTTCTCGACATCGACCCGCTCCTCAACGCGTACCTCGCCCTCGACCCCGCCTCGCCCGAGTCGGGCTGCGTGCGTCTGCTGCCGCGCTCGCACACGCTCGGCATCCTCAACCCTTCGCACCACTCGGCCTTCCTCACAGAGGGCCAGATTGAGTGTTACTGCGGCGCAAAGGCCGAGGCGAGCGGCGCGATCGTCGACCTCGTCCTGCAGCCTGGGGAGGTGGCGCTCATCCACAACTGGGTGGTGCACTCGTCGGGCACAAATCGCACCGCGCGAGCCCGCCGAGCGCTCTCCGTGAGCTACATGGACGCGAGGACGAAGCTGAACGAAGCTGAGTTTGGACGCTTCACCGGCGGCGAACTCAAGTCCTCCGGATACCCGGAGGGAGGCACGCATTTCCCACAGATCTTCTGAGAAAGCACGCAACCTAGAACTTGAGACTGCGCGTGTTCGTCTGCCTATGCCGTAGGGCTCACGCGCCACGGTGCACACTCCACAGCAAAAAAAGCCTACTGTACCGTCCACCCCCTGTCGAGTGCCTGCTGTCCTGTACAGTCGAGTACGGAGTAGTAGAGGGTTCGGATGAAATAGTCTATTCTAATGGAACCCATGTTTTGGGTGTGACGCGTCTCGCGCCGTTCGTTTTTGCTCTGGGGGGAGGCGGGGGCCCCCGGAGGCACCATGCGCCGCGCCGCAGTGCGGAAACGGGGCTCCGGCGCTCAGAGTCGCTCAGAGCACCGACTTCCCGAATGATCACGGTTGATCAGAGGGCAGATTCGGAGAGATCTCGAGGAGTACATACAGATAGACCCTCTAACCATAAGAAACTTCCAACCTGATCGGTCGTACTGACCGCCGACAGATCACACTCCAGACAGCAGACAGGCCGACGTCTGCACGCGGCCGGCCGGGCGAGAGGCTTGACACGATCCGACCCTGCGACCCTGATGCTGCTGCTCTAGCTATCAGACATGCGCTGCTGACTGCTGCCACAATGTGCGACCGGTGCTGGCCCACTTGGCGGCCTTCCCGGTCAGTGGTGAGGCGCAGTTCAGAGCTGTCGATGGCGCGATGCCGCACTGGTCCCACATCGGTGACACGAGACCACCACGTTTGCCGGTCCAAGAGAGAGGCACCGGCGCTGTCCCGAGAAGGTGCATGGTCCCTCTTGACTGCCCATGCGCGCGAGGCTGTGTAGGCATAGCCTCGAGAGTGCCAGCAGCCAATCCGAGGCAGTTTGTGACGCGCATTGCGTCAGAAGCGTGCACGCGCTGGAAGGACACCTTCCTACTGGCCGTACGATCAGGTCGTCACTGAATGCCGAAGACTAAGGCCGCGAGCTATGCAGGCGGTCAGTTGAGCAGCATGGCACGGTCAGCAACGCCGAAAGGATGTCGCAAGGCGTGATAGCATGGCCGCAAGTTCGCCGACCCATGAAAACAAGTAAAAAATTGCGCGAAAAAAGAAAAATGCCAAAAAAATCGGCGCCTGCGGCGGGCTGGGGGACCCCATCTCCCCCCCGCATGGGTATCCCCTAGGGCCCTCGCCTCCCCCCAGAGCGTTTTTGCGGGGTGATGCCGTCAGGGGCGGCGACCCCCCCATCTACAGGTGATATGCGCATCCTAGATGCCAAACGCCATCTAGGATGCGTTTTCCATCTAAGGACACCGGGTGTCTCCACTATGATTGGGTTCTCCAAGAAGATTCAATCATCTTTAGATGGTTGCCCCGCGTCTTTTGATAGCCCGTGACATCTCAGATACTGCTAAGCAGTCGTCTTCAGACGCACAAGTGTGCCGAGATGATACCCTCATCTTGGGTTAGTCCATGCATCCCAGGAGGCAATGGAGGATGCGCAATGCATCTCAGGAACATGAGCGCGTTGTCGGATTTCCCCCCCTATTTTTCGATCGACAGTGTCGGAGTTTTTTGCCGAACCCGAACCCGAAATAAAAACCAGTCTTACATATACAACCGCAACCTTCCATAGTGTAGAAAAGTCAGCATTAGCACAAGGGCTAAGTGCCCCCCACCATCACTCACTGGCTCCCATCACCATCAAGTAGTATTCCACAGACAACAGAGTAGTTAGTCACATCACACTTACATAGCCATACTAGTAGCAGCCGAGATTAGCATAGATTCATAGTCTGCACTCCCACTTTGATCCAAGGGCTCACACGCCGCTCAAGTCTTTATAATTTAACTAGCATTTTAAGTGTTTGTTATGACCCCCCCCGATGAACACATCAGTGAGGGAGGGCGAGACGATCGAGGGGTCCCGTACCATGCGGAATCGACCCTATCAAGTGCTCAAGTGCTCAAGCATTTTAATGATTAAATGCCAAGCATCTTGGGATGCGAAAGCATCTTCAGATGATTCGAGCATCCCAGGATGCTCCGGCATCTTAAGTTGAAAATACCATCTAGAGATGCTCGAGCATAGGCAAGACAGTGTGCAGTCCAAGTAGAGCGCATCTTAGATGCATATTATCTCAAGATGCGCATATCATCTGTAGATGGGGGGGTCGCTGCCCCTGACGTGCTTTGCACTTTGCAGGTACCATGGTATTTGCACCGGCCGGCGTGCGCGAGCTGTGTCCTGCTGTTGAAGTTTGAATGTGAGTGTGGACTTCTGGTTGCCTTCCACAGGCGGCGGCCGCCGCCGCGTGGCTGCGCGCCGAAACACCAAAATTCTTTCGTACTGGCGACACCTGTACGTGATGTATGTGCGCACGCATGTCGTTGGGATGCGGCAGTTCGGCCTGCACACGGAACAACTTGGCTGCGCCCATCAACCCAGCCACCGCGCGTAGAAAGCCATCCTCTGTGTTGGTATTGAACATATGTGCAACGAGGAGCATCTGCAAGTCGATGTCTGAGAAGATGTCGAGGAAAGCTGACTGCTGCTGCACTCCCTCCCTCCCCCCGCACCCCCCTCCCTCCCACCCCGCTGTGGACCGGCTGTTTCATTTCCTTGTACGGTGCGAGACACACACACTCTCTCTCTCCCTCTCCCTCCCTCCCTCCCTCCCTCCCTCCCTCCCTCTGACGACTCGAACCCGTGAAGCTTCCCCAAAATTCCGAGTGCCAGCAGCAGCCTCGTTGAGCCAGAACGTCGGCTCGCGAGGTGGGTGCTAGTATGAGCCCGCTGAGGCGTAGTGCTCTTGCAGAGGCGGTTAGTGGTGCACTAACCCCGAGAAACCCTTCGGGTCACTCCTCATCGCAAACCCTGTCAGCAGTCCTCCTCCGGGAATGTACGTAAGAGCCACATACATTGAGAGAACACAACCCCCTCTCTCTTTTCTCCCAGTAAGCTATAAGTACGTACGTACATTGAAAATGCGGGCAAGAACGGTAGCGACTCCATCCCCCCCATCCGCCTTGGCTAAAATGGTACAATCGAGTACAATCGTACGCTCGTTCGTCCTTTTCGTAATCTCAATCATCATTCCGGCGGTAGAGAAGCGACTCCATCCCCCCCGCGCTGGCCTCGTCTGCCTGGGCGCTCGCGCGAACGGTCGCACATACACGCGTATATGGTGCGCTTACACCCCTTCCTGCTACTCTCGCTACCTGGTCTTGCGCACGCCGAGACATTCACCATCCTGGGTGACGAGCTTGAAGGGGGCTGGAGCCTCGCCCCGTGGAACGACGGGATCACCGCGCCTGGCACAATGGAGGCGGTGTATGAAGATCCATGCGGACAAACGAACGGGCTCTCGTACAAGGCATCGCTTCCTCCCGGGCGGGCGTTCGACCTCCTCTGCGACCCCGCCACGTGCAATAATCTCATTCTTCCTGAATCAAAAGGTGGCCGCTACTCGAACATAGTTTTTGAGATGTTCGTGCCGCCGACTCCGGACTCGTGCGGCGCTCCCGAGATCGTGGGCGATTCCGAAAGCTTCTTGGGTCTCGGAAATCTCGCTGCAGCATTCCACTCAGGACCAGGCGAGCCTAACCGGATCAAGGCGTGGAAAAATTTCGATCGCGAAGACTTCACCCTGAGCTCAAGCAATGGCAAGTACATATTCTGCACAGACGTGCCGGACTGGGAGGCAAGTGTAGAAGGAGACGGGTGGGGGCTGCTGGCATTCGTCAACCTCCCTGGCTCCGCAACGTCGGATTTCTACCTGGACACTGTCTACTTGGCGGACCAGGCATCGGCCGCGGAACTTGGGTGCAAGCAAGACCTTGACGATTCCATCGACACTTGCATCGTCTGCCCACCCTCGAGGCGCCATCTTCTGTTTGCCAGCCTTCCCTGCTGCCCAGACTGGGGACTCCCTGACCGGGGCACGGAGTACTACTGAACTCCACCATTTGGTGATCTGTGATCGGCAAAGAAGCTGCGCCGCCCCAATGACAAGGAGACGGTGAGTAGGCAAGCGAGAGCCAGACCGGACGCACCTCCCAGGAAGAAGCGACAGTGCAATACGCATAGGTCGGGTGATATGGGGAGATACGGGGAGATATGGGGAGATATGGGGAGTATGGGCAGCAAAGGATGCGCACCTCCGGCCCCTGCAGCATGCTTAGAGCGCCGCAGATTGGCCGCTCGTGCAGAGGCGAGAGGTTTGAGTAACAGCATCGTGTGTGTCTCGCGCCTTGCGGGGGGGGGAGTAAAAAAAGCTGGAACGTCTTCCCAAGAGCGCCACTCTTGGAGCGCCGCCACTACCTACCGGTGCCCCAGGACGCACGGCCCGCCGCAGCCGGAGGCCCACGGGAGAGCGTCGAGACGTGTTTCGACATCGAGTGCCCTCTCCGTTGCCCCGGTGGCGGTCTGTGTCCTGCCAGCGCGCACCAGTACAGCACCAGTGCCAGTGCCAGTCCCGTGCGAGCCTATCGAGCTTGATGCTGCCGCGCTCGCTCGCTCGCCGAGCAGCCGCCGCTTGCACGGCCCGTCACGGTAGTCGCTGCCTCTCTACGGCTGCCGCTGACCAGACCTACGATCTCGCCGTCGTCGGCGGCGGCGTGATGGGCGTGTGGGCCGCGATTGCGGCGGCCAAGCGCGGAGCCTCAGTCGCCCTCGCCGACCAGTTCGAGCCGGCCCACGTCCACGGCTCGTCGCACGGCGACGGCCGCATCTACCGGCTTGCGTACGAGCAGGACCATTACGTCGACATGATGGAGCGCAGCCTGCCACTCTGGCACGAGCTGCAGGAGGCGGCCGGAGAGCCGCTTCTCGCGCGCACGGGCGGCATCACTGTCGCCGACGCGGCGGCCGCGGGCGAGAACCGCAACGACGCGCTGCGTGCCATCTACGCGCGGCGCGGCATACCGCACGAGACGCTCTCCGCTGCCGCGACAAACGAGCGCTTCCCGCAATTCTCGCTCTCGCCGAGCCTCGAGGCGCTGTACCAGCCCGACTTTGGCGTCCTCTTCGCCTCGAAGTCGGTCGCGGCGGCGTGGGCGTACGCGCGCGCGCTGGGCGTCGACACGTACGTCCCCTTCCGCGCGGCGGCCTTCCGCTCCGACGGGGGCCAGGGCCAGGGCTCGGTCGTGCTAAGCGAGCAGGGCGCGGAGCTTCGCTCTCGCTCGCTGGTCGTGGCTCCCGGCGCGTGGCTGTCGTCGCTGTCCCACACCCTGTGACTAGCCTTGGAGAGCCGGCCAAGCCCTCCCTGGCGCCCTCTCACTCTGAGGGGGAGCCCGTGCGCTGTAGGTTTGGCCTCCGCATTCCGACCCGCGTCTCCGCCGAGACCGTCTGCTACTACCGCCCGCAGGCGGAGTCGGCTGGAAGCACGCGCGGCCCAGTCCCCGACCACTCGTACCGCTCGATGCCCGTCTTCATCTTCCAGACGGAGAACGGCTGTGAGGGCATGTCGGGGATGGGCTACTACGGCCTGCCCACCATCGACGTGCCTGGCGTCAAGGCGTCCGCGCACTACTGCGGCCCAACCGTGCACCCGGACGCACGGCCCGCCGCAGCCGGAGGCCCAGCCGCGGTGCTCGGCCGCACCCTCGCCGGCGCGGCGGGCGAGGAGGAGGCCGCCGCGCGGCGCGTGGCGGAGGTGGTCGCATCGACGTCGCGCCTCGTTCGCGACAGCCTGCCGCACTGCGAGCAGACGCCGTTTGAGACCCAGTCCTGCCTCTACACGAGCACCTGCGACCACGACTACGTCCTCTCGCGCGTGCCGGGCCACGAGCGAGTCGTCCTCGCGGGGGGAGGCTCGGGGCACGCCTTCAAGATGGGGCCCGCGCTCGGCGAGATGGCGGCCGCCGCCGCGCTTGGCTGGGAGCCGCCACTCTCGCTGGCGCCCTTTGCGGTGGAGAGGCTGCTGGGCGCGTCGCTGCCGGACGAGTCGCTTGCGAGTAGGAGGTGAAAAGGTAAGCGAAATAAAAGAAATCGCTAGCGTGCCCGCAGTGGTGCACTAAGACTAACCTCCGAGAAACCCTTCGGATCGCTCCCTCATCGCAAACCCTGTCAGCAGAGTCCTCCGGGAATGTACGTAAGAGCCACATACACCGAAAACCCGCCTGCCGGCCGACCTCGCCTCACAGCATGTACATGACGGCTTGCCCCCCGAGCAGAAGCAGCAAAAAAGAAATCGAGTAGTCGGTCTGACCCTCTCTCGCCAGCGCGCCTTGGTTCGGCGTGGCGCGCCTACCGTGCCCAGTGTTGTGCTCGCGAGCTTTTTCCTCTTCCCGGGACGACGTACCGGAAGCCTGGGAACGTGCTAAAATTCTTTTTGCTGTGCCAGTTGCGCGCCGAGCCTGTGCCTTTGTATGGCGCCGCCGCTCGAGGCGCGCGTGCCTCGCGCCCCGGCTGGTACTTTCAGCCGCAAGCAGCGCGAGCTTCGCATCAAGCGCGGCCTGTTACTACCTCCGGCCTGGCGCGTGCCGACCGAGCGCAGCCTTCACTTCTTCTTGAAGGGCGTGTTGTGCTGTGCGGAGCTCCTCGACGCCATCCAGACCTGGCGGACTGGTAAGGAGAACACGCTGCGTCAGATCGCCGAAGTAATAACGCGACAGCTGATATCCAACACGCCTTCGTCGCGACACGCGCTCATCAAGCGCTTGGTCCGCGACGCGCTGCTGAGCGACAGCGAGGGCAACTACTACTCGATCGCAGCTACCGAGAAGAGGTTGCGCCACCTCGACTACGAAGACTGCTGCGCGCGTGATCACTACACGAGTCGCAGCTACGGCAAACGCTTTCACCCCTACGTCCTTTACAGGTTCATCCTGTTCTTGCAGACACACAACAAATTGTTGCGCTCTAAGATTGAGCAGACGGCATCCTGCGCCGTGTGCAAGGAGCGCGCCGCGCGCCGCGCCGAGGAAGGCGGCGTCCCAGTCATCTGGCGGCAAGCGGAGCCGTGCCGCCATTGGACTTGCGATACGTGTACCCGCGACCTCGCCGCCCGCGGCATGGCCAACCACTGCAGCTTGTGCCGGGCAAGGGTGATCTCCTACCCGCTCGGCGTTGCGCCCGGCGCCAACCAGAGCTGACGCTCCATCTAGGGCGGGGCCGGTGCGCGTCGGTGCACCCGGCTCCGCGTGCTGAGCGACCGTCTAGCAGTGTCGTGTGTGGTACCGCGAGCGACGCGTAGTCGTGTGTATGTCTCGCTCTCCCTCTCGGCGGTGGCCGGTGCGTCGAGCGTGACGGGGATGAGATACGAATCTCTCGATCGCCCGAGGTAAGGTAATTTTTTCAACGTGGTGGGGGAGGGCCGGGGCAACCCGCGCAACTCCACACCCACACCCACGCCGCACGCGCGCCTGAATCACTATAGTATGCTAATTGCTATTTCCTATTACTAATCGCGGTGTCGACTGTCGTCTTCCTGGTCGTCTAGCATGGTAGGGCAACGGCTTGAGTGAGCGCTCATCTCGGTTCTCGCTCGCTCTCTCGAACCACGGCTCTCGATGTGTATGTCTCTATCATCCGTGTAGTGTCTCTCGCGTCTCGGCACGGCCTCTCCACCTCTCGCGGGCTCAGCTATCCGTGAGTCTCGCTCTCTAAGGGTGTGGGACGAGTATCTCGAATCTCGCGCGCTCTCTACGTGCGCACAAACAAACTGTGTCCCGCCGAGGAGGCGCCTCACGCCAGTCGATGGCCGGCCGGCAACGCCTCTGCTCGGCACCGCCATCGGGAGATGGCGGGCGGCCGGGGGAAGCGGCTCGCGGGCCTACACGCTAGCCGCCTCGGCCTTGGCCGCGGCCTTGGCCGCGGAATTGGTCTGGCGGCAGAGCGGGCAGGGCCCGCCGGTGGCGACGGCGAGGTTGACAGCGACGCGGCCGTCGCCGGCCGCGCTCAGCGCGCTCAGGCTGGCGCACACGCGCGCCTGCTTCGAGCGCACGTGGTCGCCTGCTGGCATCGTGTCGACGGGCACATCGCGGCTCGCCATCGCCGCCTCGCTCATGTCGAGGTCCGGGTCGTGGGCGTGCTGGGTGAAGGCGAGCGTCGGCGGCGCGGAGACCTCGCCGCCGCGCGGCGCCGCCTTGACCTGCTGCTTGTAGGAGATGTAGTCGTGCTCCCAAACCTCCACGACGACGTAGCCCTCGGGGCGGGACGTGCCGTCGAGGCCGAGGTGCGGCCCCTTGATGTACTGCTCGGTGCGGCCTGCGCAGGGGGAGGAGGCTAAGCCACGAGCCGAGGTGGGCGCATGGCGGGGCGGAGCGGGGCGCGCACGGCGCGTCTTGTTCCACAGCGCCGGGCCCCACTGGTGCCCGACGCCGAACGTCTCGTGCAGCGGGTTGCCGGGGGGGAACCCGTGGTAACGGTTGCCCTGGTACTGGTAGGCGACGAGCGCGCCGTCGGAGGCGCGGCGGCACACCGCGTCCACCTTGATGCGAGGGTGGTCGGCGAGGATGCTCGCCTCCCAACCTATTCACGGAAGGAGATGTGAAGAGGCGCGCTGCTCACCGCGAGCGAGGGGGTTGGCGGCGAGCGCGTGCACCCTCGGGCTCCTCGCCGACCTCGAAGTGCACGTGGCGAAGCACGTCGAGGCCCTCCTGCTTGGCGAGCACGTGCAGCGCGTCGCACGCCGCGTGCGAAGCGCCCGCCTTGTGAGACGACTTTGTGCCCGCCTCGACCGCGTGCTTTGAGCAGAGCTGGTGCGGGGCCGAGCGGCCGGAGGCGTCGGGAGGGCCGTCGAACCCGGCGCAGACGAGCTCGCCCTCGCGGGAGCACACCACGCAGTAGGCGGCCGACGAGTCGCCCGGCCACGGCACGTTGCGGCGGAGGTACTCGGACCTAGGGATGTAAAGAGACACGGTTAGCTGCCGTGGCCGAGCGAGCCGTCGGGAGCAGAGGCGCGAGTCGCGCCGCGAGCAGGTCGCGCAGATGTTGGGCGTGTTGAGGAGCGACGGGTTCTTGAACCCGTAGCCCTCGAAGGGCTTGCTGCAGCCGCCGCAGACGCGGTAGTCCTCCGGCAGCCGCGCGCTGCAGTTGCGGCGGAGGTGAGCCGCCATGTCGACGACCTCCAGGCCGCAGTGCTCGCAGGCCACCCGCCGCTCCGCCGCCGGCCCGAGCAGCGAGCTGCAGCCGCGGCGGCGGTGAGCCGCCAAGTCGACGACCTCCAGGCCGCAGTGCTCGCAGGCCATCCGCCGCTCCGCCGCCGGCCCGAGCAGCGAGCTGCAGTCGCGGCGGCGGTGAGCCGCCAAGTCGACGACCTCCAGGCCGCAGTGCTCGCAGGCCACCCGCCGCTCCGCCGCCGGCCCGAGCAGCGAGCTGCAGTCGCGGCGGCGGTGAGCCGCCAAGTTGACGACCTCCAGGCCGCAGTGCTCGCAGGCCACCCGCCGCTCCGCCGCCGGCCCGAGCAGCGCGCTGCAGCCGCGGCGGCGGTGCTGCGGCAGGTCGAGGACCTGCACGGCGCAGTGCTCGCAGGCCTGCCTCCCGGCTGGCGACCGCTTCCGCTTCTTGCCGCGGCCGGCGCGCAATCTCTTCACTGCACAGCCCGGCACTGCGCCGTCGTTGGCGGCTGCGAGCAGCGTGTTGAGGTCGCCGAACACCACCTCGGCATCCACCGGCTCGTCGAGTGCCTCCTGCAGCGCCGCGCTCTCTGCCGCCTCGCGCGCCTTCGTGCTAAGCTTCCGCTCGCGCCCCACCATGAGGCAGCCGCGAACGACTTGGAAAGACGTCAAAGAATTTTACCGAAGTCACATGTTTTCTTTAAGGCCCTTCTCCCGTTCCCCTGTGTCCCTGATCGTCCTTACAAGATCCTGCTCGTGCAGGTGGGGACCCTGTCCTTCTCCCACCCCTCGTTTGGCGTGCCCGTTTTATTTATTTATTTATTCCCTGCGAACGCGCACCCCCTGGGCTAGGGCTCTCTTGCCCGCAACCCGATGCCAATCATCCGGCCCGCTGGGTGCGCTTCTGAGCTCCCCGGCCCTGGATGTGCGGTTAATGACTGCACTCCAAGTGCTCCAAGCAAAGGCGGTGCCACAACACGATTCACGCGACAGGCAAGGCACGGGCGACGGCTTCCTCAGAAGCCGTCGTCCACGGTCAAAGAATTTTACAACAACGGTCGCACTTGAATGCTCGCCTTGCTCGCCTTGCTCGCCCTCGCTCTGCCCCAGCCCTTCGAGTTCGCGCGGATTTCGCGAACTCCGAACTCGAACGAACGCAGCCGGCGGGGCCCAGCCCGAACCTCGAAACTGAACGGACCGCGCCGGCTGCGGAAGGCGCGAACTGCGAAAACGAACGAACGTTCGTGAACTCCGTTCGAACTTAGGAAAAAAGAAAATCATCGGCGGAAATTCGTTCGTTCGGCGTGCGGTTCAGCCTCGAGCCGCGCTGAACGAACGAACTCGCGCAACTGCGCCACGTGCGCGCGTGTGGACGCGGTCTGGCCCTCAATCTCAGGTGCCCATATACACAGAGGCGGCACTAGCACAGTTCTGACGGTCCGCGACAGTCTGCAATCTAGCGGACTACGGGCGCGACTACCCCGGTGCGCCGCCGCCCGCCGCGGACCATTGAAGAGGGGACAGCCATGCCCGCCTCGCGCGCCGCGCTTCGCACGCCGCCTCCACCGCCGTCTGCTGACAGCGCGCCGGGTGTCGAAGTCCCAAAGAACGTCCTCAAGGCGGCCGAGAACGGCCGATTGGGAGCGGTGCGATTGTGGCTGAATGAAGGCGGGAAGGCCGACACTCTCGCTAAGTTGCCCTCTGAGGTCAGCGGCCGTCCGATTCCATGCACCCTGCTGATGCTCGCCGCGCAGCACGGGTACGCGCAGATTGTCGAGCTCCTCCTGAAGCGTGGCGCCGACATCAACTTGCAAACCAGTCTCGGCACCACTGCGCTCAGCACTGCCGCCTACTACGGCCGCGAGCGAATGGTGGAGATGCTGCTGCAGCACGGTGCGGAGATCGGGACGGCGCTGGTATATTCCGCCCACGGCGGCAAAGAGCGGGTGGTCGATCTGCTGCTGCGGCGTGGCGCGGAGATCGACCTGCAAGACAAGAATGGTGGCACCGCGCTGATGCTCGCCGTCTGCTTCAACCGCCCCGCCGTCGTGCTCCGCCTGCTGCGGGCGGGCGCGGACATGACGTTGCGCGACGTGAACGGCTTTTCGGCGCTGCAGTGGGCCAAGGAGAAGGGCCACGCCGAGTGCGACCAGGCCTTCAAGACGTACCTCGGGGAGGTGGCGGCGGCGGGCCGGAGCAAGGCGCCGTCGGCCGAGGCAGGCGGCGCAGGCGCGGCGGGTGCGAGTGCCGCGGCCTCTGCTCCGAGCGGCGAGGGTGGCGCGGAGGCCAAGCCGAGCGGCGGTGCGGTGCCAGAGGAGGTTGTGGACGCGGCTGGGCGAGGCGATGAGGCGTCGGTGCTGGCGTGGGTCGACGGCGGCGGGCAGGTCGACGCGGCGTTCGTGTGCGTCTATTCGGACGGCCCTGTGAACGGCATGACGCTGCTGATACTCGCAATGATCTGCGGCCATGAGGAGTTGGTCGAGGCGCTGCTCCAGCGCGGCGCGGATGTCTCGTTGCCGAACAGCAATGGCGACACCGCGCTGAATCTCGCCGCCGGGAATGGCCACGAGAAGCTGGTCGAGTTGGCGTTGCGGCACGGCGCGGAGATCAACGAGCGAAGCGAGTTTGGCATCACTGCACTGATAAACGCCGCCGGCAGAGGCCAGGAGAAAGTGGTCGACACGCTGATCCGGCACGGCGCGGCGATTGACCAGCAGGCCATCGACGGCGACACCGCACTGATTCGGGCCGCTTTCTTCGGCCACCTCGCCGCCGTGCTCCGCCTGCTGCGTGCGGGCGCCGACCCGAAGCTGTGCACTACGAGTGGCAAGACCGCGCTGCAGTGGGCCAAGGAGCAGGGCCACACCAAGTGCGTGCGCGCCCTCGAGGAGCATGCGGCGGCCGAAAAGGCGGCGGAGAAGGCGGCGAAGAAGGCGGCGGAGGCGGCGGAGAAGGCGGCGGCGGAGGCGGCGTGGGCCGCGGGAGCGTCGGAGAGGGCGGCGCAGAGGGCGGCGGAGGAGAAGGAGGCGGCGCGGCACGCCGAGGAGCTGCTGGCGGAGGTCGAGGCGGAGAAGCGCGCCAAGGGGAAGAAGGGCAAGAAGAAGAAGAAGAAGGGCGGCGGGGCGGGCGCAGCTGCTGGGCCGTCGCAGGAACCCGAGGAGGTTGCCGAGGCGCCGTCGGAGGCAGACGCAGCCGAGGCGGCGAAGAAGGCCGAGGAGGTGAGGCTTCTCCTGCTTCTCGAGCAGCTCACCGAGGAGAGGATCCGGTTCGGCATCACGGCGGAGAGCCAGGCCGCGGCGTCGGCCGAGGTGGCCGAGGCGTCACGCTTGGCCGAGGAGGCGGAGGAGGCGGAGGAGGAGGCGGAGGAGGAGGAGGAGGCCGAGACAGCGGCCGTGGCGGCGCTGGCTGTGGCCAAGGCTGTACGGGCGGAGTCCAGGGCGGCGGAGGAGGCGGCCAGGGCGGCGATGGACGAGGTCGTGGCGGCGCTGGAGGAGGCTAGGCGATGGAGAAGGCCACGGCGGCGCGTGCGGGGGACGAGACGGCGTTTGAGGAGGCGGCGGCCGCTGCAGAGGCAAGGGGTGCTGCTGCGGCCGCTGCAAGGGCCAGGGCGGCTGCCGCCAGGATGGCAGCGGAGGCGGCCCAGCGCTCATAGCGCGAGCTGCTCAGAAGAGGCGCGTGGCCACCTCTCTGCGAACTCTCTGGGTGGAGTTTGGGAGCTTCCATCGAGGACGCGCTCGCCGGAGGTTCATCATGCACAGATTTGTGTGTTTGGTGTTGTCGCTGTTCACTGGAGCCGGGGAGGTCGAGGGCGGGGGGGTGGTGCCTTGTGGGGCCGCGCGGGGAAAACCGGTGCCGGACACTGTGAGCGGCGCCGCCGTCCGCCCGCGCCACGGCGCCACGCGCGCGGGGCCGGCCGGGTTCGCGTTTTGTGGAGATGATCTATATTAAATAAATAAATAAAACGGTCAAACTCTGAGACGAGATGTGGGTGCTGAGCCGAGCGGCGGCGGGGCGGTGCCAAAGGAGGTTGTGGCAGCGGCTCGGCGAGGCGAGGAGGCGGCGGTGCTGATTTGGCTTGACGGCGGCGGGCGGGTCGATGCGACGTTCGTGCACGTCTTTTCGAACGGCCCTGAGAGCGGCATGACGCAGCTGATGATCGCAATGATGAGGGGCCACGAGGAGTTGGCCGAGGCGCTGCTCCAGCGCGGCGCGGATGCCTCGTTGCAGTCTAGCGATGGCGCCACCGCGCTGAGTAACGCCGCCTTGAATGGCCACGAGAAGCTGGTCGAGTTGGCGTTACGGCACGGCGCGGAGATCAACCTTCAGTGCCACTACGGCAACACTGCACTGATTTGGGCCGCTTACCGTGGCCACTCCGCCGCCCTCCTCTGCTTGCTGCGGGCGGGCGCAGACATGACGCTGCGCACTACGGATGGCTGGACCGCGCTGCAGCTTGCCATGAACAAGGGCCACACTGAGTGCGTGCGCGCCCTCGCGGAGCATGCGGCGGCCAACAAGGCGGCGGAGAAGGCGGCGGCGGAGGCGGCGTGGGCCGCGGGAGCGGCGGAGAGGGCGGCGCAGAGGGCGGCGGAGGAGAAGGAGGCGGCGCGGCACGCCAAGGAGCTGCTGGCGGAGGTCGAGGCGGAGAAGCGCGCCAAGGGCAAGAAGGGCAAGAAGAAGAAGAAGAAGGGCGGCGGGGCGGGCGGGGCTGCGGGGCCGTCGCAGGAGCCCGAGGAGGTTGCCGAGGCGCCGTCGGAGGCAGACGCAGCCGAGGCGGCAAAGAAGGCCGAGGAGGTGAGGATCCTCCTGCTTCTCGAGACGCTCACCGAGGTGGCCGAGGCGGCGCGCTTGGCCGAGGAGGCGGAGGCGGCGGAGGAGGAGGCGGAGGAGGAGGAGGAGGCCGAGGCATCGGCTGAGGCGGCGCTGGGTGTGGCCAAGGCTGCACGGGCGGAGTCCAGGGCGGCGCAGGCGGAGGCCAGGGCGGCGTTTGAGGAGGCGAAGGCGGCGCTGAGCGGGGCCGACTCGGCTGTTGAGGGGGACGAGACGGCGTTTGAGGAGGCGGCGGCCGCGACAGAGGCGAGGCGTGCTGCTGCAGCCGCTGCGAGGGCCAGGGCGACTGCCGCCAGGATGGCAGCGGAGGCGGCCGAGCGCTCATGCGCGAGCTGCTCAGAAGAAGCGCGTGGCCACCATCCTTCCTGCGGACTCTCTGGGTGGAGCTTGGGCGCTTCTGTCGAGGACACGCTCGCCGGAGGGTCATCATGCACCGCAACTGTGTGCGCGGTGACGGTTGTCGTTGTTCGTTTGAGACGTGGAGCTCAGAGCTGGTGGGGCGTGAACCGGGCCCGCGGGGCCGGACGCCGCGCGCCGCCCGGGGGCGGCGGCGGGCGGCCTGGCCGCGGTGCTCGGGGAGTGGCGCGAGATTGTGTGACCGTGACGTGCGTTCCAAATTTGCAATATTAAATCCGTTACTTCCAGGCGCCGGGGCCGGGCGCCGTGGTGGGCGCCGTGGCGGTGGAGGCCACGGTGGCGGCGCCGGGGCCGGGGGCCGTGGTGCGCTGGTGGGCGCCGTCCGTGGCGGCCATGTGACGACGAGAGCGACTGGATACCCGCGGCCGGACTCCATCCGGCACGCGTCGCTGGGCGCTCAGAGCCGCGTCCCCTGCTCGCCACGAACGACCCCGACGCCCAAGGCGCCCGAATCGAACGACAGGCGGCACGCGAAGACTGGTTGCAATCCCGCCGACCGCCAGGCCGCGGGATGATGTGCGCGGGGTCTTGTAGTGGGTCTCGGAAGCTCCACCGTAAAAAAATAAAAAAAGTGACGCGAACCGGACGGACGTCAAGGTGCGAGACGCTGCTCAGGACTCGGTGTTGAGCACAAGTGCGTCGTCCGATCAGCCGTCGCGGCACCTGCTCGTCTCCTGCCCTCACGCACTCGCACACGTCCACGCACACGCACACACGTCGGCTTGCACCAACACACGGTGCTTCTTCGGGCGCCGCGAAAACCGCTCTCTCTCTCTCTCTCTCTCGGCCTTCCGGTGGCGCCGTCAGCGAGCGCCGTTGCCGTCTCATTGCTTCCTCAGGCGCCCAACGACTCGCCCTCTCAATGGGTGCCGAGGACTACCTCACCGATGGTGCCGTCCCACGGGAGCCGGGAGCGAGCGATACTCCCGACCTCGGTGCGGCAGACACGATCGACACCGAGTTTGTCCGTGAGAAGATCAAGAACCGTCACCTGCACGACGCCATCTACACGCGGTGCGGTTCGGTCATGATTGTGACCAACCCCTTCAAAAAGATGAACCTCTTCAGCAATGCGATCCTCGAGCAGTACAAGAATGCTCCGGTGCTGACGGAGCTGCCGCCGCACACGTTCGCCGTCGCCTCGACCGCTCACAGAGGCATGGTGCAGGAGGGCCTGAGCCAGGCCATCATCGTCAGCGGCGAGTCGGGAGCGGGCAAGACCGAGTCGGCCCGCCACATGATGCTTTACCTGAGGTATGTTTGCCAGACGAGCGAGGAGCTCGAGACGCGCCTCTACGGCTCGGACCCAATCACCGAGGCGTTCGGGTGCGCAAAGACGGTTCGCAACGACAACTCGTCGCGGATGGGCAAGTTCACCACCCTCAACTTCGACTCGGGCTCAAAGATTCAGGTCCGCCTCCCGGCCTCCAGACCTCCCAACACTGCGCGCCGCTGACATGCCCACGCTCACGTCGCAGGGCGCCACTCTCAACACCTACCTGCTCGAGAAGACCCGCGTGACGACGCCGGGGCCAGGTCGGACGGGCCGAGATCGGCCCGACACATCGTCCGAGATTAGCGGCGGCGGCTGTCCGGCAAGCCTGCGGCCACGGGCGCGCCGCCACCCGCCGCGCCTCCCTCTGCGCAGGCGAGCGCGCGTACCACGCCTTTTACGCGCTGCTGCGGAGCGGCGAGGCTGACCGCGTCTCGTCGCTCAAGCTGACGACCGAGCCCGCCGACTACTTTTACCTCAACAACAACGGGGCGCACACGGGCGAGCCGGGTGGCAAGCGGACCGACAAGATGCTCTGGGATGAGCTCGACGAGGCGCTCAAGGCGGGCGGCTGGACGGCCGACGGGCTGACCGAGCTGTGGGCGCTGGTCGCCGCCTGCCTCCACACGGGCAACATCAACTTCGACCCGGCAAAGACGGACACGGCGACCATCACGGCTGACTCCGCCAAATGGGTAGAGAACGTCGAGGCCGTGCTGGGCCTCCCGGGGGGCGTGCTTCCAAAGGTGCTGACCAAGATGAAGATGAAGGTTGGCACCGAGATGATGGACAAGGACCTCACCGTCGCCAAGGCCGTGGACACGCGCGACGCGTTGGCCAAGGGCATCTTCTCGCGGCTCTTCGACAAGCTGATCGAGCAGATCAACACGTCGATGGCCGAGGCCAAGGGCTGCGACCGCAACGCGACCATCAAGAATGTCATCGGTATCGTCGACATCTTTGGCTTCGAGATCTTCGAGAAGAACTCGATGGAGCAGCTGTGCATCAACTTTGCCAACGAGAAGCTGCAGGCGCTCTTCACCAAGACCGTCTTCGCCGAGACCATGAAGGCGTACAAGGAGGAGGGCATCGACGTGGCAGACATCACGTACAGCGACAACGCCAACCTCATCAAGACGTTCGAGACGCCAAAGACGGGCCTCTTCGGCCTCCTCACCGAGGAGTGCATCCTGCCAAAGGGCACGGACGAGGGCTTCACCGAGAAGGTGATGGCGACGCACGGCAAGGGCGGCATCATCTTCCGGATGAAGGGCGTCGGCCCAAAGGAGGGCTTCGGCCTCAACCACTTTGCCGGTCAGGTCAACTACGGCACCAAGGCCTGGCTCGACAAGAACCGCGACCCGATGAGCGGCGACCTGGTCCAGCTGATGCTCTCCGCGGACAACAAGCTCCTCAAGGAGCTCTTCACGGAGAAGCAGGAGGCCGACGCGGGCGGCGGCGGCGGCAAGAAGAAGTCGCCAAAGTTCAAGGGCGTGATGGACACCTTCACGGCGCAGCTCAACGACCTCAACGGCACGCTCGAGAAGTGCGCGCTCCACTTTGTCCGCTGCTTCAAGACCAACGACCAGAAGAAGAAGGAGTTCAACGAGGACGAGGTGGTGATGCGGCAGCTGCAGACGTCCGGCGTGCTAGACGCGCTCCGCGTGTCGCGCGAGGGCTACCCCGACCGGATGATCTTCGAGACCTTCAGCTCGCAGTACATCGCGGTGCCCGGCCTCAAGACGGCCGCAGAGCTCGCCCCCAAGCCGCCCAAGGAGCGGGTCGACACGCTGCTCGAGCGGCTCGAGGTGCCCAAGGAGAAGTTTCGCTCCGGCAAGACGCGCGTCTTCTTTGCCGCCGGCGTGCTCGACGGGCTCCGCGCGAAGCGGACCGCGATGCAGGCCAAGATCGCCACCGAGATCCAGCGGGTGGGCCGCGGCCTCGTCGCCCGCGCAAAGGCGCGCGAGCTGCGCAAGATCCGCGAGGCGGCGCTGCAGGCGATGGTCGCCGCGACACCGGGGGAGGACATCGAGGCGCTGCGCACGGCCATCAAGGGCGCCAAGGACGCCGGCCTCCCGAACTATCCCGCTGGCAAGGCCAAGTTCGACGAGGCGGAGAAGCGGCTCGCCACGCTCGAGGCGGAGCTCAAGGCGCGCAAGGAGGCGGAGGCGGCGCTCGAGGCGGCCGTCGCCGGGACGGACATCCCGGCGCTCGAGGCGGCGCTCAAGAAGGCGGTCGACTGCAAGTCGGACAACAAGCCGCTGATCGAGCGCGGCGAGAAGCGCGTCGAGTTCCTCAAGGAGGAGGAGCGGCGCGCCGAGGAGGAGCGGAAGCGGAAGGAGGAGGAGGAGAGGAAGCTGGCCGAGCTCAAGGCGGCGGCGGAGAAGGACGCCTCCAAGAAGGCGGAGCTCGAGGCCGCCCAGGCCGCCGCCGCGGAGGCGGAGAAGAAGTCAGCCGCCGAGGCGGCCGCGCGCGAGGCTGCGGCGGCGGGCGGGGACGCGGCGATCGTGGCGCAGGCCGAGCAGGAGGCGGAGGCGGTCAAGGCGGAGGAGGAGGCGAAGCAGGTGGCGGAGGAGACGGCGCAGAAGACGCAGCTGGTCAAGTCGCAGAGCCGCATGCTCGCCGAGGCGAAGGCGGACCCCGAGCACGCCGCGGTGGCGGGCGACGCGGCGGCCAGCGCGGCGGCCAGCGCGGTGGCCAACGGCGCGGGATCGGACGAGGCGATCAAGGCGGGCATAGCGGCCGCGGAGGCGGCGGAGGCGGAGGCGCAGGAGCGGGCCATCCAGGAGAAGGCGCAGCTGCGTCGCGCGACGATCGACAAGCTGCGCAGCGAGGAGGTCAAGTTCCACTCGTTGCCGGAGGACGTGGTGGACTACGCCGACTACCTCGGGATGGACCTCAAGGAGGACCTCGGGCTGCTGTGGATCGCCGACGAGGCGCTGCGCGCGGACGACCCCGACGGCTGGATCGAGCGCGAGGGGCCGACGGGCGACCACTACTACGAGCACGAAGTGACGGGCCAGGTGCTCTACTCGCACCCGCTCGACTACCAGTTCCAGCAGCTCTACCTCGAGGAGAAGAAGAAGGGCGGAAGCGGGCAGCTGGGGAGGCGAAACTCGGACGACGACGACGACGACATGGCGCCGCCGAAGCAGGCGCGCAGCAGCAGTCGCGCCGCCCTGCTGGCCGCCACGGGCCCGGTGGGCAGCGCGGACGACGTGTTGCGGCGCGTGCAGCGGCTGCTGGGCACGACGCGGAGCGACGAGCTGCGGCAGCTGCTCATTCAGCCGTCGCTGTGCAAGACGCCCGTGCGCTGCTTTGTGATCCGGCACAAGTCGTTCATGGGCACCCCCCGCTTCGACTTCTTCATGTCCATCTCGCGCACCGACGACATGTACTGCTTCACGGCGAAGAAGTGGCCCCTCGGGATCAACAAGGGCTGCTACTACTCCATCTCGCTCGACCAGGAGGAGGCGAAGCGGTCCAAGGCGAGCACGCTCGAGTCGGGCGCCTTTGTCGGCAAGGTCCGCTCCGACAAGAAGTCGCTCGACTACACCCTGTACGACGACGGCACCTCGCCCGACGGAAAGGACAAGGGCGGCACCTCGGTGCTGCGCCACGAGCTGCTGCACATAAACTTTTCGAACTCGCTGCGCAACCGCGACCCAGGCGCCATGACGGTGGTCCTGCCCGAGGTGGACAGCGACGGCAGCTTCGAGAGCGTGCAGCCGAGGCATCACACGGAGGGGCTCGAGGCGCTGCTCAAGCGCGGCGAGAAGGGCGGGCTGCTCGAGCTCAAGAACCGGCAGCCAAAGTGGAACGCGTCGAGCAACATGTACGTCCTCGACTTCCACGGCCGCGCCTCGCTCCCCTCGTGCAGAAACGTCCAGCTGGCGCCAAAGGCGCGCGCGCGCGGTCCGGGCTGCGCGCGCCGCTGCCTGAAGCGCTCTCACCCGCCCGCCACCTCCGCCCGCCTCAGGCCAAGGAGAGCGACGTCTGCTTCCTGATGGGCAAGGTGGAGGAGAACCGCTTCAACATCGACTTCAAGGCGCCCTTCTCGGCCATGCAGGCGTTTGCGACCGCGATCATCATCTTTGACAACAGCTCCGGCGCCTTTTGAAAGGCCCGTCCGAGGCCGGGATATGGCTGGGCCTGGCCATATCGTTCGCCGTCAGCCTGCACGCAACGCCGCACACTCGACTCTACGCCGTCGAGACGGGCCTCCGCCTCCTCTTAAGCATAGCCCTAGACCCTGTACCCTCTAATGCTATTCTGCGCCGCGCCCCCCGTGCGTGAGTCCGCAGGCTTTGTGCCTCCTGTCTTACGGCACATACAGGGGCGCTGCCGGCCCCCGCGCACCGCGCACGCTGTGCTCTTCCGGCCTCGCTCCTCCATGTTTGTGGCGTGATGTATCTTCCATGTTGGGCTGTGCGAGGGGTTTACGTTTTGTTTAAGTGCTGAAGAAGGATAAAACAGCGAGATCGCGCAAACGCGCGCTTCAGATCCTGGCGCCTCCAGCCACGTACATAAGAGAGTACGAGATGGCACACAGAGGCTAGTCCCAGAGCTCATCGTCATCAAGCGCCTCTGCCATGGCCGCATCGCCGCTCCCCTCCCGGGCTGGCTGCGCGGGCGCGAGCGCGTCGGTCGCCGCCTGCGCTGCCCCGAGGTGGATTGGTATCCTCGGGCCCGCCGACTTGGGCCGGACGGGCGGCTCGGCACCGCTGCGCAGCTGAGACGGCGTCTCGTCCTCCGCCGCCTCCACCGCCGGCGCGCGCGGCACCAGATCGTAGTTCGCGGCGAGCAGACAGAACTTTTGAGGCGGAAGCTGGATGCCAGACGTGCTGGTCGGCGCGGCGGGCAGCGGCTGGCCGTTGCGCTCGCGCGCAAGCCACTCAAGGAAGGGCGCCGAGGTGACCTGCGCCTCTGCAGACTTGAGCCTGCACGCCAGTCTGACGTCCTCGCACTCCACCGCCGTGCGGCCCGCGTGCGCCGCGTAGTCTGCGCCTTCCGAAAAGACCTCGGCGCAATGAGCGTGCATGAAGGTGAGGAGCTGGTGGAGGACGCCCGGCTCGTAGTCGGTCACACCCATCGAGCGCAGGATCTCGTCGACGGTCGCGGCGTCGCGCGGCGCGCCGGAGCTCGACATGCGCCCACCTCGCCGAGTTGTGGAAGAAAAAATCGACATATGAGTGTGGCGTACGGCTACCGTTCAACCGTCTTTCTTACCGTTCAACCGGTTGGGACATTCCGTCTCCATACCTGGCCGTCGTAACACATGACGCGACTTTGTGGACGCTGCTGAGCAGCGTCACATACTCCTAGACGTATGGTTCTTGACCTGATGGACTATGGCATCAACTACAACACCAACACAAAGGATGCCTGCGCGTGGGACGCGTGGGAGGAGTTCTGCGGCGTGATGAACACCGCGCCGCTGCGGCAAGCGTCGTTCGTGCGAGAGTACCCCGCGCGAGAAAGCAAGCTGCTCGGTCTCTTCGTCCTTTGGATCTATCCCCGGCTGAAACCTCGGAGTCGCGCAGATCGCTGGGCCAAGCCGAGATCCGCCCTCGCCTACCCGCTGGCTATTATCCGCATCTTTCAGCGGTGGCAAGTCGTCCTCCCGAGCATCAAAAACGTGCGCGCGCAAGTTCGCGGACTCCTACGCGTGGCGGTCAATGTCTTCGGGCTGGGGTTTCTCGCGCCGCGACGCAAGGAGCCTTTCACCATGGACATGCTGCGCGCGGTCTGCGCCATCCCGAATGGCGCTCGCGTCGGCGCGCACACGTGGCACGCCGAGTCGCCTATCACGATCCTCGTCACAGATCTGATGTGCTTTCTGCTGCGGACGGGGTTCCGTCCGTGTGTGATCAGTGTCTACGGATGGGGTGTCTTTGGCTCACGCCAGGGCGCTCGTTGCTCCTCCGTCTCTTTGTATCTTCCATACTGCGTTTATCAGAAGACCAGTGTGGGCACCCAATTGCAAGTTCCAAGTACGATTCTGAGGGAGGGTGTAAATGACCCCCCCCCCCAATGAACACACCAGAGACCAGTGAGGGAGGGCGAGACGATCGAGGGGTCCCGTACCATGCGGAATCGACCCTATCCAGTGCTCAAGTGCTCAAGGATGTAGAGTGTAGAGCGCTGTAGAGCTGTAGAGATGTAGAGCGCTCTGGAGCGCTGTAGAGCAATGTAGAGTTGTAGAGCTCTACATCCGCCGCGTGACGAGGCGGGTGCGTAGAGCGATGTAGAGGCGCTCTACAACGTGAAATCTCTACAACAAACTCTACATCATAAGCGGCGAACGAGGCACGGTCGCTCTCCGGCATGAGGCGCGTTGCACTTGCCAGTGCTGCCCTGGCCTTCTGTCTGCCCGCCCAATGGGTGGGAGGTGCCTCTGCTGCTGTGGCATGCCTCACGGCTGCGACTGGCCGGCGCCTCGGCGCGTCAGCTCGGGCTCGGCGTAGTGATAGTGGCCAGCGCAACTCGCCTGGACTCAACGCTCAGCCAGGAGCTCCCGCACGCGCTGGCGCGAGTCATGGCGCATGCAACGCGTCTGAATGCTCGCCTCGCCTCGCGCAAATGCGACCGTCCTCGCAGCCGATAGTCCACCGCCTGCTAAAGAAGCACAGCGACGAATGCGGCACCGGCGACGCATGGCAGGCTGGTCATGATGCAGTCATAGGGTGTTGTGTGCCGTCAGAGTGACTCTCTGTGTGTTAGGGATAGTCAGGGCCGTCCATCAGAGCTCTAGTAAGCTCGGACACACCCCATTAGTGCGACTCGACCTCTTTGAGTCACTGCCTTCCCGGCGGGTTGGCTGTAGAGCCTCTACAACAAACTCTACAGCAAAATCGCGCTCTACATCGCTCTACAACGCACCCGCCTCGTCACGCGGCGGATGTAGAGCTCTACAGCTCTCTCTACAGCGCTCCAGAGTGCTCTACATCTCTACATACAGCTCTCAGCGCTCTACAGCGCTCTCCAGCGCTCTACATCTCTACAGCTCTACAGCGCTCTACACTCTACATCCTCTACTCGAGTACACCCTCCCTCAGATTGCGCGGCGCGGCCCGAGATCGCGCACCTCGGCACTCGGCGAGGACCGAGGTGGATGGGTTGGGAGCGAGGGGGCGGAAGTGATCAGTGCGGTAGATCGGTCAGCTCGGGGCGCGTGAGCCGGACTTGTGAGCCGGACGGCTTTCATTTCTCTCTGCGTTCTTGCACATGGAGTGCAAGATACTCGTTCTGTTGCCATCCCAAACAAACTGTCACTCCCCTTTCTCCCGGCCGGGGTGGGGCGCGCGCGGGGGCGGCGGGTGTGCGGGATGTCTGTGGGCCCGAGAGCGATTGTTCTATAACATACATAGGAGAAAAGAAATCTTCTCTCGTGTGCACAGCGGCAGCGAACCCCGCCTCGCTGATTGTGCCTCCGGTCTACAGTCGGACGAGCCCCGCCACGCCGAATGCTCTCCCGACGTGTCGCACAGACCAACTTTGATCCCGGCCGTGGCGACGCTCTGCGCGCCTGCGTCGCCAGCTTGCTCGACTTGCCTCTCGCCCAGACGCCAGACTTTCTGAACGCCGCGGGAGGCGACTACTGGCGGTCGATGGTGTCGCACGGCGCCGCGCTCGGCCTCGCACCAATCAAGGTCGCGCTCGGCGCCGACGGCAAGCTGCCGAGCCCGTCCGTCGAGGGCGGCCTCTGCATTTTACGCGGCACGTCGCCCCGTGGCGCGCACGGGCACGTCATCGTCGCCGCCGTCGGCCGTGATGGTCTGCGAGAGCTGGCCGTGGCAGGGATCGCCACAGCGTCCGCTGACGCGTCGGCGTCTCGGCTGCAGGCGTCACTCTCGATCCCGTCCACGACCCGCACCCCTCCGGACACATGCTCCTCCCGCCGTACACCTGGGCCGCCTTTTACGCATCGCCCTGCCCCGCCGCCGCCCGCTCGGCGGCGACCGCCGCCACGAGCAGCATCGCCGCCGGCAGCGCCGCCAGCAGCGGCAGCGGCGCCGAGGCGAGCGGCAGCGGCGGGGCGGCCGCCACCATCCTCTCGCGGCTCGCTCCGGCGCTCTGCGCGGCCGGATTCGAGGTGCAGGCGCCGCTGCTGGTCCGCTGGTACAACGAGCACCCAAAGGTGACTCCGCTCGGCGTGGCGCACCACCTCGACGCCGATGGCGACACGCTCGCGCTTCTGGTCGGCAACTCGCGCACGCTCTGGCGCCCCTTTGTGCGGTGGGTGGGCGAGCGGCTGGCGGAGGACGAGAACTACCTCGCGCGCCACCCCGACGCTCTCGACGCATACGCGCGCCACGCCGTCTCCACCCTCCTCCGCGCTCTCGACGGCGTGCCCGGCCTCCACGCGGCGCCGTCGGTCGTCTTCGCGGACGAGACGCTCGAGACGCACGGCCGCTGCGTCTCGGTCGCCACCGCGGCGCACGTCGCGGGCCTGGCCTTCTACGACGCCTCGCTGCAGCGCTCGCTCCACAAGGCGCTCGGCCAATGAATTTATGTAATCAATTCTAAATCGATGTCTCAATCAATCTCGCTCCACAAGGCGCTCGGCCCGTGGATCGCGTACCGCGCGGTGATCGTCTTTTCTGGCGTCACTGCGCCGCGCTTGCCGCGGCCGCCGGAGCCGACCAACCCGCTCTCACCCGCAGAGGCGCAGCGCGTCCTCGCCATCCAGCAGGAGAAAAAAGAGACCGCCGCCCCCGCGCACCGCGAGACTCTCGCACCCTCATCTCGCACCCTCAGACCAGCCATTGGCCTCCCCGCCCTCCCCTCGCCTCTGGAGGCCATGCCCTCCGCCCCTTCCCCCGCCGCCCCCACCTCCCCGCCCCCGCCCCTTCCCTCTCCGGGGCAGGACTGCTTTCTTCGGTGGGACGACTCGGACGAGCAGGCCAACTGGGGGCGGCTGCGCTCGATCGTCGACGCGTTTGAGATTGGGCGCGAGCACCGGTACGAGCACGAGATGATGCAGTTCCACTACGAGCCGGACGCGCACAGGCGGCTCGAGGCGCTCCGCCGTACCGCTCTCTGCGCGCGCGGCCCCGGCGACGGCGGCGCGGCGGCGCGGCGAGCCGCGCTGTCGTGTGACGCGCGGACCGGGGGCGCCGGCGGGCTGCCGGCGGGGACGCAGACAGCTGTGAGCGCCTTTGACCAGGGTCAACCGGCCGAGACGCAGACGGCAGCGGCGGAGCCGGGCCAGCAGGCACAGACGCAGACCTTCCTCGCGACGGGTGAGGAGGCGACGCAGACGGCGCTGCAGCGCACGGCCGAAGCGGGCGTCCAGCACCGCCCGGTGCTCGCGAACCAGGTGTGAGGGGGGGGGGGGGCAGCCGTGTCTCAATTTGTCACACGCAGGCGCCGGCGCGGACCCTCTCTGCTTTCCTTTTTTTGTTTTTTTAATATGTATCGGGGAAAAGTAATGCAGGCCAATTGTCGCTGTGATGACGAAGAGGTGGTTCTCAGACTTGAACAACAACCGGGTCTTTCCAGTGGATCAAGGCACGAGTCCAACACGCACATTTTGTCCCGGGCGGCGAAGCGAAAACCGCCGTCGCCGTAGTGGACCCCCCACCACCAGCCCCTTGGACGTTGGAGTGTGAACAGTGAAGGCTTCGTATAGCCCTCCGGTCTACTAGAAGGTCCGCAGGACTGGAGCGAAAAAAAGCAAGCCCGGGGGGCGAGTGCGTAGGATCTTGCTAGGACGCGAGACCTTTTTAAAGAACCGAAATCTCCAGGAAATATCCCAACGCGGTACGGCTCTACCCCCCCCCCCCAAAGCCCACACTGCAAAGAAACTGTGAGACAGTCATGCTCTTTGCTTCTAGGTTCTACTCTGTGAGCGTTCGGTTCAGCGCGCCTTGCCAGGCCCTGCCTCGAGGGTGAGCATCTTCATCAGCACCGTCTTGCCAGGCCCAGCACCTGCGGTCGTGCGGACGGGCTTGCCGGAGCGCGGAGGCGTGGCAGCGGCGGCGGGCAGCGGTGTCGCACCGCTCGGGCCCATGGTGGATGACGCTTGCTCGGATATAGAAAAGACGCCAGGCCCCCAGGGCAGCAGCAGCCTCGAGCAGGCAAGAGCTTTCGCAATACATGTACAACTCCATGTAGAGGCTTTCATGAGCACCGCGACGACAGGTGCGACGTCGAACGCACCCCTCCACGAGCTGCAAAAGTGAGTGAGCGCGCACACACACAGTCCCGCCGAGCGCGCGACGAGCCCCCTCAAGCCTCATGCCCGTGCCCGCACCTCGCCTTTCTGACGTGACTGTCTCCTGACCATCATCTCGCGGCCCGTGTGATTCGCGCGTCTCTCAACGCATGTCAAGACAACACAGGGTACGGGATCGCCAAGCAGGTAGCGCCGCTCCTAACTATGGCCAAAGACCTCCAACGGCCAATCTGAGAACGCGTGGTCCGTGGAACCTGCCCTTTAGCGCCGACACGTGAGACGAGACCCCCTCCACCACTGCCGCACCACCCTCGCCGAGTGTCTGATTCACAACGCTCGGCAACCGGGCATCGCCCCGGGACGTAATAGCACCTTCACAGCCGAACGATGCGAGACGCAAGTCCACCAAGCTCGGCATTCCAACGGCCAGACAGCTGGGCCAGAGCGGTATTTTGGTTTTCAAAAGTTTTTTTTGCCTGCTCCAACGCTCCTGCTCCAACGATGTGGTCGTTCAAGCGGCACGCAGCCCTGCCCGGCACAACCGGGTTAGTGGCGCACGGCACCCGCGGCGCTTCTGTGCTCGCGACGTGCCCGCTGCGCGTCGGTCGCGACCTACGCGCCGGCGCTCGGCGCACCCAAGTCCAAGCTGTAGTTGATCGTTGCTTCCCTTTCGCGAGGCGGTGCGGACTGCCGGCGGCCTCGGTCTCCCTCTGCCCGTGCGACTTTCGCTAACTCCCTCGAGCCTAGACCGTCTCTTCGGGACGGCGCTCTTGAGCACGTTTGGCACCAAGGGGCTTTGATTCTTACGACCCTCACCCGCCAAGGCAGGTGCGCACTTGGCGCGTGCGTTTCTTTTTTATTATTTACCCAAAGTGAGACGCCGTGCTTAGAGTGAAGTGTTGCTTTTGTGTGAGTTGTGCGAGCTCCAACTTGCTCGGAAGGGAGGGTACGCACGGCTAGAGGCTAGAAAGAATCTCCTCTCGCCACCACACGGCTGGGGCAGCCGACCGACGAAGACGGCGTGCGTGAACAATGCAAATCACGCCGTTGCCGCCGGCGGTTTCGGACCGCATCCGCGCCGCCACGGCCGTCCCGACCTTTTCTCGGGCGCTCGAGGAGCTCGTCTTCAACTCTCTCGACGCCGGCGCCACCGAGATTGTGGCGTCGGTGAACGTGCAGGCGCTGTCGCTCAGCGTGCGCGACAACGGGCGCGGCATGGACAGGCTCGCCCTGTCGGTGGTGGGAACCAGCGCCGCCACCTCAAAGATTCGATCGCTGGAGGAGCTGCGCGGCGGCGTGCACACCTTTGGCTTCCGAGGCGAGGCGCTCCACGCCCTCTCGACGGTCGCGTTGGTGGAGATTGTCAGCCGCTGCGTCGACCCGCCGGCGGCGCCCTCGCTGGTCACGGTGCTGCAGCACGGCCAGCGCACGCAGCCGGGCCCCGCCGCGGAGGCGCGCGCGCCAGGCACGACTGTCTCGGTGAGAAACATGTTCTCCAACCGGGCCGTGGCGCGCAAGAGGCACCAGCGGCCGAGCGCCGCCGGCGCAGAACTCTCCCTCCTCGTTGCAAGGATGACGCGCCTCGCTGTGGCGAGTCCGGGCGTCGCCTTCCGGCTCCACGACGCGTCGCGCGGCGTAACGCTCGTGACCAAGGGGCGGGCCGCATCTCCGCTCGCGGCCTTTCGGCAGCTGCTGCTTTGCGGCTCCCACGAGGAGCAGCCGCGGCTCGCAGAGCTCAGCTTCGACGACGGTCGATACAGCCTCCACGGCCACCTGTCGGTGCTCTGCAACGGAGGTCGCATCCGCGATGCGCAGCTGCTGTCGCTCAACGGCCGCCCTCTCGAGCGCACCAGCGAGCTTCACCGCCTGATCGAGGCGTCGTACGCCAGGCTCCACCGACGGCTCGCGGGCCAAACGTCGTCACCCGGCAGCGCGCCTGCCGTCTTTTGCATATCTCTGACCTGCTGCCCGTCGCGGTACGACGCGGCGTTCCACAAGGAGAAGTCCGAGGTGATGTTCTACGATCTGGCCGCAGTCCGCAACGCGCTGCTCGGGGCGCTGACCAGCTTCTTCTGCCGCGAGGCTAGCGCACTCGACCCGCGTGACATCGCAGCGGAGCTGGTTTGCCTCGCAGCAGGTGCGCGCGACGCGAGCGACGACGCGCCACGCGAGGTGCGCGATGGCACACACGGCGAGCGGCGAGACGAGGCGGTCGACGAGGCGGTCGACGAGACAGAGGGGGAGGGAGGAGGGCTGGTGGGAGCCACCAGCTACGAGGCGGAGCCAGGAGCGAGAGGGAGCGACCATGGTCAGTCGGCGTCCGTCGAGGCCGACCGGCACGAGCTGCGAGAGGCGGGACGCGCCGGGTACGAGCTCCAGGAGGACCGATCGACTGGTGGGGCGCGCGTGTCGCTAGCCCGCGCGCGGCACCACCCGGCCGTGCTGCTCGCAGCGTTGGAGAGCCCGGCCACCCCACCGCCACCATCACCGCTCGAGTGCCAGCCGCCAGCGCGCAAAGTCGACCCCGAGCGGCAGCAACGGCAGCCTCTGGCGACGCCGCCACCTCTCGGCCCCTCTTCTTCGGGCAACTGGCTTTCGTCCCCGAGGCCTTCTGCGGCGGGCCGCAGCAAGCGCCCCCTCGACGAAGCGCCTAAAGAGGAGTGGCTGGGGCAAGAGGGGCGCTGGGAGGAGCAGGAGGCGGGGCGAGAGGCGGGGCAGGGGGGGGGGAGGGACGGCGTCGGGCCATCCCTCGGAGGAGCCGTCCACGCCGCTGAGGGACCCGCGCCAGGGCTGCTGGCGGGGGCACACGGTTTGCCCCATCCCGCTCCCGCTCATACCGCCGCCCAAGACGGAGGCGACGGTCTCTTTGGCGGCGAGGGAGACGAGGCTGGCATCGCTCGCGGGCTCGTCTCCGCGGCCTTTGGCAACCTTGTCGACAGCCGGCCGAGCCGCCGCCGGCCGGTGCGCCGCGGGCTCCCGTTCCACCAGCGGCTTTCTGCAGCGCCGAGCCTCGCAGCTGCGCCCGAGCCGACGGAGAGCAGGATCACCAAGGACGACCTCTCGCGGCTCGTCGCCATCGGACAGATCGACCGCCGCTTCGTGGCCGCGTGCATCCCTCCCCGCGATGGCGGCGGCGCGCGGCTCTGCCTCGTCGACCAGCACGCGGCGGACGAGCGCGTGCAGCTCGAGCTGCTGCAGGCGAGGACGATCTCGCCGCAAGGCGGCCCTCTGCCTGGCGCCGTGGCGCGGCGCCGGCTGCACCCGCCCCGCGCCGTGGCGCTGCCCTCGCACGAGGGCGCGGCCCTCAGTCAGGCGGCGCCGTCCGCCCGCGCTTGGGGCTGGGAGCTCGAGGGCGTCGGCGTGGGAGACACGCACCTCCGCGCCGTCCCCGTGCTGCTCGGCGTCGAGCTCGGAGACGGGGCGCTGCTCGAGTACCTGCGCCTGATCGCAGAGACGGGCTGCCCGGCGCAGCCTCCGCCCCAGGTGCACCGAATCCTCGCCTCCAAGGCGTGCCGAAGGGCAATCATGTTTGGGGACATGCTCGACGCTACGCAGTGCCAGGCGCCATACCTCCCGTCATCCCCGACGCCGGTCGTTTTTCTCCACTTCTCAGATGGAACTCGCGGCCCACGTAGGCCCTGCTCACCAAGCTCGCTGGGTGCGCGATGCCGTTCTTTTGCGCGCACGGACGGCCATCCATCGCGCCCATGCTGCAGCTGCCCACCGCCGACAGCCCGCCGCGGATGCTGGTGCGCGACAGGAATGATTAGGAGGTGGGACGAAGGGGGGTTCGTTGTGTGAGGAGAGGCGCCGCTCGCCCTCTCCGGAGCGATGGCGCGGCGCGGCGCGCGCAGGAGCTCACACGCACGGCCGGCGGGCCGGGCCTGACGGGGAGCGTCCTCTCCCGCCGTCCGCGCGGCTCGATTGGGGGGTCCGGCGGTGGGCCGCTCGTGGTGGCCGAGTGCCGCGCTGTCTGTGTGGGCCCGCGCGCCTCAGCAGAGCGCGTAGCTTGCCACCTCCTGGTTGACTCTGGCCTGCGGTTTTTTTGTTTCGGCGCTCCAACCCGCCGTGGAACATGAACACATATGCACACCGGGGCACCTGAGCCCTGGTCTGACAGCCTGACAGCAAACCCGGACAGCGCCTGACAGTGCCCGACAGCCTGACAGCGCTGACAGCACTTTCTCTGACAGTCTGACAGCACGTGTCTGACAGCCTGACAGCAGAGTCTGGCAGGCGAGGGGTTCCGTCGCTGTCAGGCCCTAACGTGACAGCCTGACAGCTGCCTGACAGCCCGACAGCACACAGTGGCCTGACAGCAGCTCGCTGACAGCCTGACAGCCCGACAGCAGCACAGACCGTACACAGACCCCGTAGAGCCTCTTTCTTGTGCCCCATTGAGGGTATAACAAAGTTACATGCAAAGACATGTGAGTGTGGTCCATGTCCATGTAGTCATGGGATGGTCATGGGTCTCTCTCTCAACCCTCCCGCCCGCCACCTCTGCGGACCCCTCTCTAGCACCGGCGGCTGTGCTACTACAAATGAAGCTACCAGCTAGCCTTCTGGGGCCCTACAGTCATATGCCTACGGCGTCTGGGTGGGGGTGGCCGTCTCCAAGGACAGCTCATCCAAGGTCTTTGCCATCGGCAACATTCAGCAGGTGGCCGTCGCCGACGGCACAGTAGACGCGCGCCGCGCCACTGGCAGCTCCAGCGCAGAGTACCTGCGCCAGCTCTCCATGAGTCAGCGCAGCAACGGGGTCTTCATCAACGACCCCAAGGGCCTCTTTATCCTCCGGTGGTACCGTGAGGTGAAGGGTGACGGGACCCCCCCAGACGGCCCGCGCTACCAGAACAGAGCGTGCAAGTACTACAAGCTGACGAGCGACAACGATGGGGAGGCCTTCCGCTGGACCAGCAACTACCAGATCATCAGCAAGGTGTACCTGAAGAAGCACTCCACCCTGCCTCTCTGCTATTCCCTCAGTGCGGCAGACAAGAAGATGGTGACGTCCACCATGAAAAAGATGGTGGGACCGGAGGCAGAGTAGAGGCTAGAGTATGTATGTGTAGTAGAGTCCTGCTGGTCTCCTATTGATAGTGTCATAAGTGTGGCTGGTGTGTGTCAGAGCCTGGCAGCACCCCGACAGCACCACCTGACAGCACCTGACAGTAACAGCCCACCGTCTGACAGCAGCAGCAGCCTGACAGCTCTGACAGCTCCGACAGCGTCTGACAGCAACACCCGACAGCTCCGACAGCACCTGACAGCTACAGAACCCCTCGCCTGTCAGACATGCACCCGACAGCACCCGACAGCACTGACAGCACCTGACAGCTGGTCTGACAGAGGCACCTGACAGTGCCTGACAGCTGCCCGACAGCCCGACAGATCACCTGACAGCACCTGACAGCCTGACAGCCAGGGCTCAGCGGGGCACACAGGCCCCACGCACAGGCACAGACAGCCACTCGCCACTCCCCAGGCCACAGCACACAGACACGCATGAGGGCGCATCGGTGGTGCAACCGAGATATGACGCCGTCGGGCCGTCGAGTGATTGAGTGATTGAGAATGCGACCAGTGCCTGCATAGAACGAAAAGCATAAGTATCTAAAACTAGACTGAAGGAGACAGAACCGAGCAAAGTGCCGGGACTCCCCGCTTTCTTTCTTTGGCTAGTTTATGAAACAACCGCGAGGCCAGAAAGAATTTAACAGAACAACTCTCTCACAGCAGAAAGAAAGAAAACACGCAACACAAGAAAAGAAAGAACACATACAATCCAAGGGAGAAAGAAAGAAAGAAAATACAGAACCCAAGGGAGGGATGGGAGGACGGCACACGGGATTTTAAGGGGAGGAGTGTGGTGCTAGCCGTCGCCCACCCACCCTTGCATGGGCGTCTGCCTCTTCCTATCTCTCTTCGCAGTCTCTCGCCAATTCTCGCAGCGACCTTCATGCCGCGCCTCGCGGTCTTCTCACCTCTCGTCGTTCTCTCTCCTGCCGCTTCATCCTCTGACCCATCGCTCTCCTCGGCCTCGTTCTGCGACGCCGCCGCTGCCTGCCGAGCCCTTGCTCTCGCGGCTTCTCTCGCGTTTAAAATTCTTTTCCCTGAGGGGGTCGCCGGGGGGGATGGGATGATGGGGATGGTCTTTTAGGCGAGCATTACGGTGGCTCGCGGATTCGACTGTCTTTGGTCCCCCCGGTCGTGCCCACCTTTATGAGGACGACGGCGCCGGCTGTGCCTTTTTTTCGAACCTGTGTGCTGTGCGAGAGAGTTGGAATTCTCTTCCCAGGGAGCCGTCGTAAAAGTAGGGAAAATTCTTTTCCCTAGTGCCTCGCCGTCCTCGCAGGACCGCAGGAGTCGCTTAGGCGGCTCCCGTGGTGTACCTGTGTTAGTGCCAGTGCGCGCCAGTCCCGTGCCCAGCGTCGTGCGCGGGCTTGTTTAAATTCTTTTCCATTTTTAAAATTCTTTTCGTTCTGGTCTAAATTCTTTTCCCTTCCCTCCAATTTCTGTTGGCTCACCGCCCCGGATGCCTCCGCCATCGCCGCGACAGGCGGCGCTCGCGTCCGACATGTACGATTGCGTCTGTCACATCCTCGCGCTGGAGCCGCAGTGGGTCGCCGACGCTCTCGAGGCTGCCGTCCGGGCGATGCACGAGCGCGTTGGCAGAGCGTACAGGAGAGACCTCTACCTCAAGCAGCTCAAGCAGGTGGCAATCTGCCCGCCGCAGCTCGCGGCCTCGGCGGTGTGCAAGCTCAAGCCGCACGTGGGTGCCATGGTTCGAGAGGACTGGCCGCACTACACGCCCGAGCAGCGCGGTCGCCTGCAGAGCCTCAGGAAGGCTGCCGAGGCGCCTGCGGAGCCTGTGAAGCACCCGCCTGAGAGGCGCATGCCAATGGAACAGCCGGCGGGGAAGCCAGCGGGGCGCCAGCCGGCGGGGTGCCCGCCCGCGACTCGCCAGCCTGCGGGACGCCCGCCCGCGACTCGCCAGCCTGCGGGACGCCAGTCCGCGACTCGCCAGCCCGCGACACGCCAGCCCTTGCCGGATGCCGGCGGCCGCGGCGCCACTGCAGCGCCTCGCATCGAGTCGACGGAGGCGTACCACGCCGGGAAGAGGCGCGCGGAGCAGCGTCCGATTCCCACCATTGTGCCGTCCACCCCCTCGACTGCCCTTTCGCAGGCGCTTCCGCGAGCGGTACAGGCGATACCGGCAGCTCGATGTGGCCCTCGCCGCCCTCACGGCGAGCGGGCGGGCCGGCGCGGGGAGAGGGAGGCGCCTCGTGGGTGGGTGCCGAGCAGTCGGCCGCGCCCCTCTGCGCAGGCGCTCTTCACCGGCCTCGACGACAAGGTTCGCGGGGCGTCGTGCGAGGACGCGAGGCGAGAGGCCGAGGCGCGGCTCGTCGAGGCCTTCCGCGCGAAGAAGCGCTCGATGCTGCAGCAGACGCAAGAGTACCGCGCGCTGCACGTCGAGCTCAAGCGGCTCAAGGCGGCCGTCAACGGCTATGTGGAGAGGGCGCCGAAGACGGCCGTGGCGCTCTGAGACAGCCTCGCGGTCACGCCGCCCTCATGCGTGTCCGGGTGTCGTGTGCTGTGGGCCGGTGTGCATATGTGGTTCATATGTCCACGGAGGGAGTAATGGTAATCTCTAGTCTTTTTTAGAGATTGAGAGCTTAAAGATTTGAAAGACTCCACTCGGGTCTACAGTGCTACCCAGAGATTTGAGACCAGAGATTTGAGACTTGAGACCTCAGTGCACTCAGTCACTCGGCCTCCGGTGGGAGACTTTGAGATTAGAGACCAGAGACTTGGAGAACGAGATTTCCCACACCAGAAGGAATCTGCGGTCGAGTTCGCTCGAGATCCAAGATTTGAGACTGAAGATTTGGACGGCCTTCCAACCTAGAGATTTGAGAGCTGAGATTTGGAGATTTGCGGTGTGAATACTGACAAGAGCCTCGAAGCTTCTAGAAGGGTTGAGTGGGGTTGACCTGCAGGGAGATTGAGGTCTGAGATCTGAGATTTGAGATTGAGATTTGAGATTGAGATTTGGGGCCCGGGGAGCCTGCGGCGCCATTTTAATCTGCGCTCCTCTTTATGGCCTGCGGCGCCTGGCTTGAGCTTGGAAGTGTAAACGAGTCCGCCAGGGCGGTCTGCAAACACGGAGCGCGCTGCGCGCGCGGTCTACGCCGAATTAGATGAGAGGGACAGCGCTATCCGCAAAGGCTCGACCAGCTGCGGCGGCTCGTCGGCAAAGGTCGTCCACTCCTTGGCGTACGGCTGAAAGCCGGTGTGCGAGTGGAGCATCTGCGTGTCGAGGCGCCACAGCATCTCGCCCTCAAAGATGATGTCTCGCGACAGCTGGACGTACTTGCGAGTCCGATCCATCGCGCGCCGTCATACGGCACCTGCTTGCCCTGAGCCAGCCGAGACTCCTCGGCATATGAGAGGTTGTGCTTGGCGCGACAATTTGGGCAGCGCTTGCAGTAGAGGAGCCCGTCAAAGCGCCCGTGCGTGCAGTATACGGTTGGATGGACGGGCTCGTCGCTGACCACAAGGCACACCTTCTGCCCTTGCAAAGCGCAGACGGCGCAGAACTCAAGGGACCAGGTGGAGCGGCGTGGACTTCTCCTGCTCATGGGAGCGCATGGGGTCGAGAAGATCCACGAGAGCGCTGATGCCCGCCTCGCTCTCGATGCTGCTGACGAGGATGTTGATGGTCGTGGACGCGTGCTTTGTTTGCATGTCGGCAGCGATGAGCGCTGCGCGGTCGGGTGTGTCGACTGGGTAGCGGGCCATGCCGAGGAGAAGCGCGACGATCTCATCCTCACTCTCGAGCGGCCACAGCTTCGTGGAGAACCGCCTCAGGCGGCGGCGGCGAGTGTCGGCGGCGCAAAGCATTGCAAGCCGAGCGTGCTGGGCTTCCCGGGGTCCTCAGTCTCAATCTCAAATCTCGAGTCACGCTGCCCTAGATTTCGGTGGTGCCGCAAGCGATGTTTTTCGAACGAAGCGAGATAAAGGCGTTCGAAGTTGAGGAAGTTCACAGCATTCTGCATCGAAAACGGAATCTCTCTTGCTTGCAGTCTCAGTCTCTCCCACCCCTCATCGAAATCTCAAACTCCCAAAGCGAAAAGGAATCTTCGCCATTTGAGATCTCACGCGTTTCCTCTAGAAACTCACACCGAGCGACGGGAAGACTGAGATTTCGTGGCTGAAGTCTCGACGAAGATTTGGGAGATCTCAAGGGCGGGACTAGAGACTGAGATCTGCCCTGAAAATCTTCAGGTCTCACTCCTCTCAATCTCTAAGAAAGACTAGAGATTACCATGACTGCACGGAGGGGGCTGGGAAACAAAAAACCGTGCCCCCGGGGCCCAGAGTGAAGAGCTGGAGGTGGCAAGCTACGCGCTCTGCTGAGGCGCGCGGGCCCACACAGACAGCGCGGCACTCGGCCACCACGAGCGGCCCACCGCCGGACCCCCCAATCGAGCCGCGCGGACGGCGGGAGAGGACGCTCCCCGTCAGGCCCGGCCCGCCGGCCGTGCGTGTGAGCTCCTGCGCGCGCCAGAGAGTCGCCGAGCGCCGCAGCACCGGCTGACACGCCGCGACCCCGGCGGCGCAGGTGCGCGCCTGCAGCACGATGGCAGCTTACGGCGGCTACTACACACGGCAGGAGCAAGAGGACGCGATGGCGGCGCGGATCGACAACCCCAACCGCGTCGGCTCTGGCTTTATCAACCTGGGGCCGCAGCAGCGGGCGCCCGCCGTGGCCAACACGAACTGGCAGACCGGGTCGCTGCTCGGCGGCGGGCCTGGCGTCGCCCACGCCGCGCCTCCGGGCGTGTCAGACATCTGGAACAACGCGCCGCAACCGCCGCAACCGCCGCCGCGCGCGCCGCCGCCGCCCGCGCCTATGGGGATGCCTCCGGGCATGGGAGCGGGCGGCTTCGGGCGGACCGCAGCGGAGCAGGCCAACCTGGGTCTGGGCTTTGAGAACTTGAGCATGGGCGGCGGCGCCGGCAGCGCCGGCGCTCCGTACCCCGGTGCGCTCGGCGTCGGGCTAGGCGAGGTTCCGCCTCGCGCGCCCGCGCCGCAGGCCGCGGCGCTGATGAGCCTGCTACAGACGCCGACGCCGAACCCGACGCCGGCCGCACTCAACTCGGCCTTCACGATGGGCAACGGCGGCCACTCGTCGCGCGCGTTTGCCAACCCGGCGATACCGCAAGCCGTGCCGCCCGTGCAGCAGTTGCAGCCCAACGGCGTCCACTCTGCAGCCTTCCCTGCGGGCGCCTTTGCGCCACCGGTGGCCCAGCAGGTCACGCGACCACAGCCCGGCCCGCCTCGCAACCTGCATTCGGCGGCAGACTACGCCGCCGCGGCGCAGACCTACAAGCCGCCCGTGCCGCCGCGCAACTCGAGCCAGGCGGTGGTGAGCGTGTCGCGCGTGCCCGAGGCGTCTAAGTCGCAGCCGAGCCAGCCGGCCAAGGAGGAGTGGGAGTGCCCGCGATGCACCTTCTTGAACAACATTGCGCTGCGCGAGTGCGAGATGTGTGGCTTTGAGCGGGTGGGGAAGGACGAGGCGCCGGCGCAGAGCCGTTCCGAGGACGACGGCTGGCGCACGGCCACCCCCGCAGTGCGCAAGTCGGCGCCGGTCCCCAACCAGGCCAACTCGCAGCCGGGTAAGTCCAAGGCGCAGAGCAAGAACGAGAAGCGGCGCGCCAAGAAGCGGGGCGACCACTAACTGTGCGACGCGCTTGCGGGGGTTCGGGGGGAGCGGATGAGCTTTCACCAGTCTCGCTGCACCGGGCAGCCGTGGAGAGAGGGGGGGGAGGGAGGGGCGGCGTTTGCATCCATTCCCCGCGCGGTGTCGGCTCTTGCTGGCCAGCGGCTGTGCTCCGCGGGCGGCAGCCGCCGCTGAGCGCTGGGGGGTAGGTGTGAGCCCATCCCTCTCTCGTCCCGTCTGACCTCTGGGCAACGGCCGTGTGGTCAAAACGTTCGTTGGCTTTTGTTGCGAATTTTATGAGCATGCTCTCTCAGAAAACTGGCCTCAGAAGCATGCACAACACACACCCTGGAGCGCTACAGCGCATCCCGCTCTCTGGCGAAACATCTCCAATGCGCAATCCGGCAATGCTACTCTACGGGAAAAGACGATAGACAGGTCTCCCTCTCTGTGTATAGACGCTTAGCGCGGGGGCCTTAGCACTCGCTTGCTTTTTTTCGCTCCAGTCCTGCGGATCTTCATTAGTAGACCGCAGGGCTACGAAGCCTTCACACTCCAAGGGGGCTGGGGCCTTAGCTGTATAGACTGTACTGAGTACTCTGATGTTCACGTACTTCACCAGCTCTCCGCCGCGCGGAGAGAGAGCGGAGAGTCCCCCCCCCGCACGGTGACCGGTGCGCGGTGTGTCTCAGAGCTCCTCCACGCAAGACGCGGGGGCAGCAGGCTCGGAGGCGGCGGGCGACGCGGTGACGGCAGGCTCGGAGGCGGCGGGCGACGCGGTGACGGCAGCGGCGAGCTCGGCAGGGGCGGGTTCCGAGGCCGCGGAGGGGGCGGAGGCGGGAGCAGCGGCGGCCTGGGACGCCGCTTTTCGGGGCTTGCCGCCCGCCCGAACCTTTCGCGCCGCGGCGAACTCTGCGGCGGCGGGCGCTCGCACGATCGCGACGAGGCCGGCGGTGCCAGCAGCGGCAACAAAGTCGTGGTGCGGCTCGTTGGGACACCTATGGAGCGGGGAGGGAGAGAGGGGAGCTCAGGGGCAGCACAGTGCAGGGGAGAGAGGTGCCGATCTCAGCGCCGCGCCAGCTGAGGCGCTGCAGCGAGAGGCAGCGGCGAGTGGCCGACGTGTCGAGCTGCCTGCCCTCCCGGTGATTGGCGGCCGACGAGCCGAGGGCCACGAGCAGGGGACGCGCAGCCGCGTCGGAGGAGGCGCCGCTTCCACCGGCCCCACCCTCGCTGCCGCCGCCGACCTCACCCTCGGCGGAGGAGGAGGGCAACGCGGGGGCGGGCAGAGAGAGCTGCAGCAGCGGGCGGCTCTTCAGCTCTGACCCCCCCGCGGCGGCCCTACGATCGACAGGGCGGCAGGTGAGCACGAGACGGGGAGGGAGACGAGCGAGCGCCGCCCCACCCGATGAGCTCCGACTCGGCGTACACATCGACTCTGCCACTCGAGGTTGCGGTGGCGATGCGGTCGCCGCCGGCCGAGGCTCGCAGCTGCCAGATGGTCGCCGGCTCGTCGCCGTCGATGCGGCCCTTCTGGATCTGCAAGCTGTGGTGCGAGCGCAGCGGAAGCACCATCCACTGAGGCTCGTCCGACCCGACGAGCAGCGACGGCGCCTGCGGGGGTGGGGAGGGCGGCGGCGCAGGGCTGTCGGAAAGTGTGGTCGCAGTGAGGGCCGAGCAATTGTGCGAGGCACAGCGAGGCTGTCCGGAAGCGTGATTGCGGTGAGGGCGGAACAATTGGAGAAGGTCTCACCAGTCGAGGTGACGCCGTCCGTCCGGCGGGCGGTTCGCAGTCGCGGGGGGGAGGGGGGGGGGGAGCGCCCATGGGGTTTGCCCCCTC